AGTTATTGTATAAACTATTTGATTTTTAATCATCATATAATTCTTGGGTGTGTTGTTTGTAAATTTCTTTTGATGCGTTTGCAATGAAAGGAACGATATCAGTTGGTTTATGGAATCTGTTGCATAGGATAGACAGAATAATTCTGCAGAATTCTGCTCAACAGTTGCGCAACAATTCTGCAGAATTATTCTGATAAATTCTGCAGAATAATTCTGATGACAACATAATAATTCTGAAGATTAATTCTGATGAATGTTGCGTGACATGGATGTAACAAAACCAGAATAATTCTGAAGAACTTATTTTTATTCTGCAGAATTTTTCTGCTGAAATTTTTTTCAGAATTTCACAAAACAAATCAGAAACATTTTTTTTTTCAAATTCTCCATAATTAAAAGTTCTGATCAACAACTTTATGAGAATGTGATTAAAAACTTTGTTTTTCCACAATTACAAATTAATATGGAAATTAAAATAGGAGTACAACATTTTTCAGAGTTTTAAACACTATTCAATTCAATTTCAATTTATTCATCTTAAATTGTGCAACAGTGTTACTAAAATGCCACACTTTTATTTTTAACATTAATAATTCTTAAATCTATATTATGTACGTTAGTTCAGTGTTTAGCGCATAATCTTCACTAAGCAGTTGTGTGTCCAGTAGACAGTTAAAAACTGTTATAGATCTTTAGAACAAGTGTTCATATCGGCTCTCGTTTCAATTTTCAGTAGTCTCCAAATCCGTTCCACGGCCCTTGTATCTTTTCATTCTGTCTACATAATTCTTGAACCATTCCCACATCTCACATTGCCTAATTCTTAGTTTTACGTCTTAAACTGCTGCAACTAAGAAGCCGAAGTATCTAAACTTCTGAAAATAACTGGGCTGGTGATGGGATTTGAACCCGAGAGCCCAAATTCGAGTCAAAATTTTGTGACCTGTACCTTGCCAGCTGAGCTATCAAAGCACTTTTGCATAATTTTTTGCAACGGATTTTGGTAGTATCAGTTTGCAGCGTCATATTTTGATAAATTGATCATCACCATATAATAACGGAAATATAATAAGTTCCAAATAAAGCTAAAAAAATTAACGAACAATAAAAATCTGGTAAATAAATAATTGTCGAATTTCAATTATTTACTTTTAAAAAATAATCGTGTCGAATTCGATCTCAAAAATTGAATATTCAAAAATTTCATCAAATTTTATACGCTTTTGTATATAATCTTCAATTGAAGTTTTAATAATGAATAACTTTTTCAAACTATTCAAGGCTTTAAACCAGAGGAGCAAAAGGAAAATATTTGTCAAAGTCAAAACCAATTCCTTATCAATTTTGTTCAAACTTAGTGAAACACTGAAAAATGTTGTGCTCCTATTTTAAATTCCATATTAATTTGTAATTGTGGAAAAAGAAAGTCTTTAATCACATTCTCATATAGTTTTTCATCATAAATTTTAATTATGCAGAATTTGGAAAAAAATGTTTCTGATTTGTTTTGTGAAATTTTGAAAAAAAATTCAGCAAAAAAATTCTGCAGAATAAAAATAAGTTCTTCAGAATTATTCTGGTTTTGTTACATCCATGTCACGCAACATTCATCAGAATTAATCTTCAGAATTATTATGTTGTCATCAGAATTATTCTGCAGAATTTATCAGAATTATTCTGCAGAATTGTTGCGCAACTGTTGAGCAGAATTCTGCAGAATTATTCTGTCTATCCTATGCAACACACCCGGTTTATGTCTTTAGATTCAATTACGTAGTCCATTAAGTATTTTCCGGATTGATTTTTCTAAAAAGAAAAGATTTTTGAATATAAAATGGTCTGAAGGATATTATGAAAGTTTGAGTGATTAGTCTCAACAAAGAAACATTAAATTCCTCAATTAAAGTTTTACTAAACTTCAAATAATGATCAAATGCAGTCAAACTTAGTCCTTGTGATTATAGTTCACATTAAATCTTGCATCTTACCAACAATAAATATTCTGGATTCCTCCCCAAATTAAATTTATTCCATAGTTTGTCTAAAATTATATAGAACTTTCCATTTGATAAGATTCTTTCAAGAATACTCAATTGATCTACTTTTTCACGACCTAGAAGTAACTTTTTGGTAAGTATTTTATCGTTAAGTACAAGTTTTGAAACTTTTTCAATGTTTTCTTCGAGGTTATTCAATAAATCGTGGACTTTATTCTAAATAAAATAAAAATCTTCAACATTATGAATTGAAACTTAAAGTATTTAAAAGTTACCAAAACATTTCGTTCCTTTCTTTGAAGAGATCCATTAAAAATTACATAAAAATTTCCAGTTTCTTCAAAATCTTCTAATATCGTTGAGTTCATGTTGATAAATGAGTATTTCTTAAGTATAAGTCTTCTTATCACATAAGATTGAGTATCTTTTCGAGCTAAATGAAAAAGAAGCACAACGTCTGACTTAATTGCTATGTTCCAATATTCACCATAAATTTTTTTATATATTTTAATGAATTTATCGAAGCTTAACTCAAATGTAGACAAATAATTTTCTTTTAATAAGTAAACAAGTTCAAAGAATTTGAAGTCACAGAATTTTGATATAGAATAAATTGATGCTTCATAGGGAGAATAATCATCCATGCTGTAATGTACAGCTTTTAAAACTTTATCTTTTCGATTTTTATAAGTTTCTGTTGGAGTGATGTTGAGGTAAAGTATGAGAATCTTCAAAATACTATTCCTAGATTCTTCATCTTTAATTTTTAATGTCTCATTAATAGAATCATCAAGCATAATTTGAAATCTTTTTTCTTCATCAGCTGTGATTTTATCACAACCAGCTAGTTTCATTTTGGATTCTTTTTCGTCCAAAAAGTGATAAACTATTCTCAAGCAGACATGATGATACGGAGTCATTTTTTCAATATTGACAATTTCCAATAACCTCTTCAGCAAGGATCTTCCAAAAAATTCATAAGCCTCGAATTTTTTGCATAAACAGTAATTAAAAGATCCAGCCTTTGGCTCATTCCAATCGTGCATTAAAATACTGAACAAATTCAGTAAATTTGCGGCTTTATCAGTGGCGTAATGTTTCATAACATCCAGAAGATCAATTTCTTCTGACCAAAATTGATGATATTTTGATTTATTAAAATGCTTAAAATATAAACTGATAATTGCTGAATTATCTTCATTGGATTTTAAGGTTCTTAAGATTTTCTCTGTGTTTTTGGAAAAACAAATGTTTTGTCTAAAGATTCTCTTATTAAAAGATGTGCTTGAGTCAATCTTGTTGTAATCAATATCAATTTCCTAAGAATATTCAAATTAAGAAAACAATTAAACATTTCAAATTCAAAACTCACCACAACATTTTTGACATCCATTTGTTTAATTCTATTCTCATATGATTCATCCAAAGCACAAAACTATTGTTCCAAAAACTATCTAAGGAATAAATCTCAAAGTTCTGAGCTTAAAAATCAATTAAAACCAGAAATTCTCAGCAAAACTTATTTCTACAAGCAATCGAGTTGGGCCTTCTACTCAGAATGATTTATAAATTAAAAGTGAAAGCAGAAGATTTCAATGTGATGTCCACACTCACTCAAGCCTTTTTTTCTATTATATGTAATTATCACAAACAGCTGTTATCACTTGTGTGAATACGATGTATGCAAATATCATAATTAATTTGCGAAAATAGCACGATAGCGTAAAACTTTAAGGCTGTGCCCACTAACCTTGAATATTGCGATGAGCTTCTATAACAGAGAGTGTTTAATGATCCTTAGAGTTTAATACAGCATTTAATTAACTGTGCCCTTGAAAATTTTACAGATTGGTAAAGAAGTTATCATTCTTGGTGCTTAAGTCAGCAGAATCTTTGAATTATATTGCTTAAAAACGTCTAAATTAAAAGCTTCTCAAGATAATTTATTCATATCACCCAAAAAAATTCCTTAATTGCTAATTAGCTTCGCACCTTACAGCTTCACATATTTAAGTATTTACAACAATCAAGAAATTTCTTCATTAAAAACATAAATTTACCGAAAAAAGCCTCTTCCATCCTAATTAAAAGGCATCAGAGGCAACCAAAAAGTTCTATATTGTGAATGCAAACAACAATTTTTTTAAATTAATTATTATGCTCTCATTAAGCAACAAATGCTAATAAGAAAGCGCTAAATTAATTATCTCGTTAACAAAGAAGTCTTTCATCACTCATGCTTGATGTATGAACTCAGCGTAGACGAAAATATTCTTAACAGATTGTTGTTCCTCAGAGAGATTTATGATCTGATGCTTACAACAACAAAGTCAATGGAATTTAAATAGCTTTATAGAATTCAAGAAGAAGATGTTTTGTTATTTTATTGGAGCTAATTTACCATAATCCATTTCACAATTGTCATTATGTATGCTGAGTAGAAATCAAAATACATAAAAGGAATGGATGTGCTCATAAAGAATAAATTGGTGCGCATTTTTGAGGTTTGGGTAAAATTGTCATACCATTAGGACAGTAAGAAAGAAAACCCTGTCCTTAGTCTAGGACTTCATGAAAAAAGAACGAAAGGTTCATTCAAAAAGGCGCCAAAAATATTCCATACAAGAAGGTGAACCTTTATTATTAACTTTGGGCGATTGAAGAACTTTTCTACTTTACTTAGAAGTAGATAAATCTGAAACCTAAAGATAGCTAAAGATCTGTTGGTTCTAATCCCAAAACAACTGTAATTTTGATTGCCAAACCTATCAACGACGAACCAAACTTTTTTAACTTTCTATTCCCAAATAAAATCCGCAAGAAAGCACAAAAAATGCTCAAAGCAACAAAAATAAGCATGAACGTGAGGGAGGAATAATCTCCGAAATATTGAATGATAATGGATACACATAGAAAGAAAGAACAAGATACGAAAATTGTAATAATCCCCAATATTCTCACAAAACCAAATGTTTAGCTACAACTTCAATGACTTGTTTTAATATGAATTACTATTTTTTTGTAAATTCTTTCAGTTCACCAAAATGCATCGCACAAGCTTCATCAGAATTTCGTAGACTATCAAGAAGTGGCTCGGTGCCAAATCTCGATGATAAAGTACACATAACAAGTCCATTATTGAAATCATCCGGTTCACCAAACACACATCGTCGCATGTCTCGAACTCACCAGAATCATCACCATCCTCACCATCATAATCATAATGGTAAGCAGCACTCGAGCTTGGTGTATCGAGCTACGAGAGAAAATAGTTATCTTCATCCGGGCTTATTACGATATCATCGACATGCAATATCTGTAGATGAAACAAGTCCATTGAGACAGTCAAACGATTGGACACACGGTTCACAAGCGTCAGTAACGTTTGATCCTACACCCGAAATAATCGATATTGCACCCGTACATAAGAAACGTATAAAGCATAGCGATACATCTCGTCGACATATCTTATCACGTCAGAAACCAATAGAGAAAGAAGAAGTGCATAATTCTAGTCCCCAACAGAGACGACGTAGCTCAACGATGTCAGAAAATTCAATTTCACAATCCAGAAAGCAAATTGCTTCCACAACAGTCGAAATAAGTCGGAGAGCATCATCTGCGTCGCGTACATATAGCATTGATTCGCGATGTTATCAACACAATGCGAATATATCTTCAGCACATGATTTATGTAGAAGCCCTGAGAAGCAACAGAGCCCGAGAAAAGTCAGCTCGATACTTTCTATTGATAAGGAGAATTTCAGGTAATAAATATGCTTAAATTAAATTAATTACATTACAAAGGAGCTTTAACAATCAGCACATGCAGACGTTTTGATATTTACAAATTTATTTATCCTCTCAGCGTCTTTCAATGCCTTTTTTACTTATTTCTATTCACTGCTCGTTCGCTATTTTCACATTGTACACACAAAGATTGAAATGAAAATTACGAAGAGATTAAATGAAGCTTTTTGTGTACTTTAGTAATAAATCGAAAATTCTTAATGCGATGAAATGTTGAGTGCGGAAGTTTTGTTTAAGACTCGATAGTAATGCTGGATTTGAATTGATTTTCTTTATTTTTTAAAGACTCGGTCAAATGTTTTAAGATTCGAAGCTTCAAATTATTAAGTTTTGGAGCTGAAAAGTTCAAATTTTGAGGTCTAATGATACTTTAATAATTATTGCGAAGGTTGCAGTAATATTTAATACAGATTCTAAAATCCAAATTTGGTGCGTTTTGGATCTGAAAAGTTCAAATTTTGAGGTCTAATGAAACTTCAATAATTATTGCAAGGGTTGCAGTAATATTCAATATAGATTCTTAGATCCAAATTTGGTGCGTTTTGGATCTGAAAAGGTCAAATTTTGGGGTCTAATGAAACTTCAATAATTATTGCAAGGGTTGCAGTAATATTTAATACAGATTCTAAGATCCAAATTTGGTGCGTTTTGGATCTAAAAAGTTCAAATTTTGAGGTCTAATGAAACTTTAATAAATATTACAAAGGTGGCAGTAATATTCAATATAGATTCTTAGATCCAAATTTGATGCGTTTTGGATCTGAAAAGGTCAAATTTTGGGGTCTAATGAAACTTCAATAATTATTGCAAGGGTTGCAGTAATATTTAATACAGATTCTAAAATCCAAATTTGGTGCGTTTTGGATCTGAAAAGTTCAAATTTTGGGGTCTAATGAAACTTCAATAATTCTTGAAAAGGTTGCAGTAATATTTAATATAGATTATAAGATTCAAATTTGGTGCGTTGTGGATCTGAAAAGGTCAAATTTTGGGGTCTAATGAAACTTCAATAATTATTGCAAAGGTTGCAGTAATATTCAACATAGATTCTGAGATCCAAATTTGATGCGTTTTGGATCTGAAAAGGTCAAATTTTGGGGTCTAATGATACTTTAATATTTATTGCAAAGGTTGCTGTAATATTCAATATAGATTCTTATAGATTTATTGCAAAGGTTGCTGTAATATTCAATATAGATTCTAAGATCCAAATTTGGTGCGTTTTGGATCTGAAAAGGTCAAATTTTGGGGTCTAATGATACTTTAATAATTATTGCGAAGGTTGCAGTAATATTCAATATAGATTCTTAGATCCAAACTTGGTTCGTTTTGGATCTGAAAAGGTCAAATTTTGGGGTCTATTGAAACTTCAATAATTATTGCAAAGGTTGCAGTAATATTTAATATAGATTCTTAGATCCAAATTTGGTGCGTTTTGGATCTGAAAAGGTCAAATTTTGGGGTCTAGTGAAACTTCAATAATTATTGCAAAGGTTGCAGTGATATTCACTATAGATTCTTAGATCCAAATTTGATAAGTTTTGGAGCTGAGAAGATTAAATTTTGGGGTCTAGTGAAACTTCAATTATTATTGCAAGATCAATATAGATTCTTAGATCTAAATTTGGTGCGTTTTGGATCTGAAAAGGTCAAATTTTGGGGTCTAATGAAACTTCAATAATTATTGCGAAGGTTGCAGTAATATTCAATATAGATTCTTAGATCCAAATTTGGTGCGTTTTGGATCTGAAAAGGTCAAATTTTGGGGTCTAATGAAACTTCAATAATTATTGCGAAGGTTGCAGTAATATTCAATATAGATTCTTAGATCCAAATTTGGTGCGTTTTGGATCTGAAAAGGTCAAATTTTGGGGTCTAATGAAACTTCAATAATTATTGCGAAGGTTGCAGTAATATTCAATATAGATTCTTAGATCCAAATTTGGTGCGTTTTGGATCTGAAAAGGTCAAATTTTGGGGTCTAATGAAACTTCAATAATTATTGCAAGGGTTGCAGTAATATTTAATACAGATTCTAAAATCCAAATTTGGTGCGTTTTGGATCTGAAAAGTTCAAATTTTGAGGTCTAATGAAACTTCAATAATTATTGCAAGGGTTGCAGTAATATTCAATATAGATTCTTAGATCCAAATTTGGTGCGTTTTGGATCTAAAAAGTTCAAATTTTGAGGTCTAATGAAACTTTAATAAATATTACAAAGGTGGCAGTAATATTCAATATAGATTCTTAGATCCAAATTTGATGCGTTTTGGATCTGAAAAGGTCAAATTTTGGGGTCTAATGAAACTTCAATAATTATTGCAAGGGTTGCAGTAATATTTAATACAGATTCTAAAATCCAAATTTGGTGCGTTTTGGATCTGAAAAGTTCAAATTTTGGGGTCTAATGAAACTTAAATAATTATTGCAAAGGTTGCAGTAATATTCAATATAGATTCTAAGATCCAAATTTGATGCGTTTTGGATCTGAAAAGGTCAAATTTTGGGGTCTAATGAATCTTAAATAATTATTGCAAAGGTTGCAGTAATATTCAATATAGATTCTAAGATCCAAATTTGGTGCGTTTTGGATCTGAAAAGGTCAAATTTTGGGGTCTAATGCTACTTTAATATTTATTGCAAAGGTTGCTGTAATATTCAATATAGATTCTAAGATCCAAATTTGGTGCGTTTTGGATCTGAAAAGGTCAAATTTTGGGGTCTAGTGAAACTTCAATAATTATTGCAAAGGTTGCAGTGATATTCACTATAGATTCTTAGATCCAAATTTGATAAGTTTTGGAGCTGAGAAGATTAAATTTTGGGGTCTAGTGAAACTTCAATTATTATTGCAAGATCAATATAGATTCTTAGATCTAAATTTGGTGCGTTTTGGATCTGAAAAGTTCAAATTTTGGGATCTAATGAAACTTCAATAATTATTGCGAAGGTTGCAGTAATATTCAATATAGATTCTTAGATCCAAATTTGGTGCGTTTTGGATCTGAAAAGGTCAAATTTTGGGGTCTAATGAAACTTCAATAATTATTGCGAAGGTTGCAGTAATATTCAATATAGATTCTTAGATCCAAATTTGGTGCGTTTTGGATCTGAAAAGGTCAAATTTTGGGGTCTAATGAAACTTCAATTATTATTGCTAAGGTTGCAGTAATATTCTATATAGATTCTAAACTACAAATGGTTAAGTTTTGGAGTTGAAAAGATCAAATTTTGGGATCTAATGAAACTTTAATAATTATTGCAAAGGTTGCAGTAATATTCTATATAGATTCTAAACTACAAATGGTTAAGTTTTGGAGTTGAAAAGATCAAATTTTGGGGTCTAATGAAACTTTAATAATTATTGCAAAGGTTGCAGTAATATTTTATTTAGATTCTAAGCTTCAAACGATTCGTTTTAAGTCTTTTGTCTAGTAATTAACAAATTCAAATTTCGTACTTGAAGTTATGTCTTTATATTGATACTTATCCCTGATTCTATTCTGCTCATACACCACTGTAGCTCGAAGAAATCAGACTAAAATGTATGTAAACAAAATGAAATCGGAAAAGATTGACAGCTATCGTAATTTGGGTCAAGATGCAAGAAAACATTTCTTTTCAACCCATCTGCTTTTGTTGAATTATTTTTTTCCATTTATTTGTTCTGTCAAAACTATGATAGTGAGGACTTTTTGTATTCATTGATTCTTTTCTATTGATTTTAGTACGACTTCTGCAATGAGGATATATTAAAGTCAATATTAAAGACTCACATGCTCTTGATATTTTTTACTGAGTTAAAAAGTTCATAGAATGATTATACATATACAGGAGCAGTTCAAACATATTCATACACAAAACTATTTTCATTATAAGTCTCTGGAGCGTATCCAATTCATCAATTTCTATTCAACAGTGATTTCAAGTAGGATGAAGCCTTTTAAAGATGTTCCGATATAACTTTTTTAAAGGATGGAATCAACATGTTTAGGTAAAACTCTTGGGAGTTTTTTTAAGCATTTACAAAGATTGCAATATGCCAAGATGGACGTCACTTATTATATAATGTGTGAAGGGCCCAGCCTTTCAGCTGGAGGCACTGCGATTCAAATTAGAACAGAATCTATTGTACCACACCCTTTAGACCTACAGTTTATAGTGGGATCCGAACCACTTGCAAGCTCTGTACATTGCAAAGACACGAGTACGTCATAAGACCTGATGTACCCTGCAATGTACCTAGTCACAATCCGTGTGCGCAAGATGCCGTAAGGAAGTCATCCAGATGCTAGTATATCCTTGTATACCTAGCAAAGGAGGCATATTCTATGCCAAAGACATCAATACTACACCCAACACACGAACCGAGCTTCGTAACTAGAACGGTGAAATGGAAAAAGAGCTTCGAAAATTAGACATGGCCTGGGATTGAACCCAGGACCTTTGGCACGTAAGGCCAACGCTCTACCATTTAGGTCACTGATGCCATTTCACCGTCACTTATTAACGCACTTCCAAAATCTTATCGATTCATTGTATTCATAAAATAATTAAAGCGTAAGCAAAATTACAACAAAAAAAAAAAATTCAGCACAGCCTTCACTTCATCCTGGGTTATGAATTAATTATTATAAATTCTCCAAAAGCTCAGCACCTTTATAATCTCTATCTTCTTTACCCAAAAATAATAATGCAAAGAAATCCGCTTTCTAATGAAAATTTCCCCTCAAATCCTCTCAGCATCTCTGATTTTGCTGTTAATACCCAGGTATAGAAAAGGCATAGAAAGAAAATTAAATCGTAAAGAATACTTAAAGTCGATAAAGGAACTGCTGACATAAAAGTAATAAATTTTGAGGTTTTTTTTCTTGAGAAACCTTTTCTTTCCTGCCTTTTATTCTGCACATTATAAATGAAATGGATTACATCTAACCTATCTACAGTACATCTCATGCTCATTTAATTGATTCTCGTAGCTAGAAAAAAAGGTGGAGTAAATACCAGAAAAAAATTCTTGCCAAATAAGTGTGGAATAATAAATGAATATAGAGGAAATTAAGAGTGAAGAATGGCAAGAATTTCATAAAATTTCTTTACAAAAGTTGAAACTTTTGCGTTCCCCTTTGTTTGATTTATGGATTGTAGTACTAAGATTTAAGGATAAACTTCCCATAACATATGCGAATGAAGGAAAATTTTCAATTTCCTGAATAGAAAATTTAATTTTCATGAATTCACAATGAACCGAAACACTATTTTGTAAACTCGAGTTGTTAACATAAATCATGTATTGATCTGTATTGATGAATTTGTTCATTTCATTCAATTTGATTAAAGGAGAAAATTGTCGATTTGCTTTAATTCAGAGTAAATTTGGTGCATGACAGTGGTGTAGCATTAGAAGATGGAAGGGAAATGCTTCTTAATTGATGACAACCTGATTCATTAGTTCAATTGTTCATGAAGATCAGAGCAGAAAATAGCTTAAGTTTAAGCTTTTATGCAACTTCTAATAGCCCAAAAACTCAGGGTTCGAATCAAGCAAATTGCAAAAAGTTTTATAATCCAGCTAAAGCTTCGTTGTTGAAATGTTTAAATCGCTACAAAATTTTAGATTAGCTACTTGCTTCTCCTCTGCAACTATTACAGAGCTAGTTTTTGATGATCAAACCCAATACATACATAAATCATTTTTCACTCTAAAGCCACATCACTCTTCTAAAAACTATCCAAAGAACGACTTCTTTTTCCTCCAACTTCCCTCGAGCAGCAAATAAAATTTTTCTTCCCTGAAACTTAATTAATTATTGCACACAGACGTGATTCAAGTGAATAATTTGTAAGACGGGATGAAAAAAAGGCGAGAATTTACTTTTTTACATTTTGTTATGCAATCGTTTTGTCGCCATTAAGTTTAATAGAACTTAAAAAATGCTCATTATTCTTCATCCACGACATTAAATCTTGCACAATGAAGCAGAAAAGCAAGCCAAAAGTTCTGATGAGCGCATTATCGCATCATTTATAATACGAAACCGCAGTTTTCTTTCGTCTATAGAGTTTGTGCCTTGTGCCAACTGATGATTAAATGAAGATAAGGATTTTTTTTGTCTTGTTGGAAATGTCATGAACCTTTCTCATGGATAAGACAATGGTTAAAAAAATGTTATCGATTTCTTTTTTTCTTCTCCCATTACAGAAGTCAATTATCAATTTGCTCAGAGCCAATGGCAGCGGTGAAGCAATTATCATGTCAATCAAGCATTGAACCATGTCTCATGGAGGAAGAGAGCGGTGTTGAGGTTGATAAGCAAGAAGAAATTGAAATGGAATTAAACGAGACAAAAGCTATCATTGAACCAAAGCAACGTCCTGACTCACTAATTTTAAATACCGCAACCATAGAAGACTCAACTGTATCAGATGCCAAAAAATACCTTTATCGTAGCCAATCGACCCGAAGTTTTAAGAAACCAAAATCAAAGCCATCGAAAATTCTTAGTAGTGATTTGGATCAAATTTACGTGATAAGTAGCAATACGTGTAAGCGATCTGATTTAAATGACTTTTATGATTCAATAGAAGTCATAACAGAACGTAGAAGTAAGAACTTTATGGAATTTAATAATCATAGTAATAGCAACAATAATTGTAGTAGTGAAAATAAAATTGATGGTAGCTGTGAGAATGTTCAGAATGGATGCGCGTCAAAAGAAATTATTGTTGAGGTTGAATCACATCATGTTGAGTAATTAAAGTCCAAATATACTTTTAAGTCATTAAAGCGAGCGAGAACAAATTACAAAGACAGCAATAAACTTTCCTATTAAAATCGAGAAGCTTTTGTGCGAGGTCTTCACTTTGTTTTTCATTGCTACCTTTTACCTTCCATCCTTTTAGCTCTTACGCTTATTTTAATTCAATTAAAAACTTTATCCGTAAAATTTAGAGCTTTTGCTCCTATAAATAAAATAGGAATGAAATAAAGAGGTAAAGTGAAAGAGAGAATGGAAGGTTTTAATTGGATTTCATTACAGTCCCTTTAGATGATTTTGTTGTGGCTATCTTTATGAGCTTGTAGTTCTGAATACTATGTGGGATACAAGGATCTTAAGGACTTACATTAGAATCAATATTAAGTTCAATTCAGTGTTGCATTCTGGCTATTTGTCTGGATCAGATAAATTCTGAGACAGAAATTTCTTCATAAAGATCGATTCTATATGAAGATAAAAAATCTAATCTACACAAAGATTATTTCTACATAAAGATTCTGTCTACATAAAGATTCGATGCAGATGTCTACAATTCTACATTCTTCTCTGATGTAGACCTGGAAAAAATGTAGAATTGTAGACATCTACATCGAATCTTTATGTAGACAGAATCTTTATGTAGAAATAATCTTTGTGTAGATTAGATTTTCTATCTTCATGTAGAATCGATCTTTATGAAGAAAGTTTCTTAGCTAGACAAAAACTATTGAAAAATCTACATTCTTCGTCTAGTGTAGACATCTACATTTGCAACACTGGTTCAATTCTAACAAAAAAGCAAGAAAATAATTAAATATTTTTTTTATTTATTTGGAAACAGCCATTCAATCTCATCATATACATTCTACGAAAAGAAGTTTGTAACCTTATTATTAGTTGCCATAAAAAGTCATTGAAAACAAGGAAGAAATCGGAATTAAAAGAAAATTTATTGAAAACAAAAACAACACAAAAAGAAAGTCTTTAAATTGAAATTTATTGAATGAAAATTCTTATCTCTGATTTAAGTCCTCGTAGCTGAAAAATATATATTTTCAATTAAATTCCTAAATTAAACTCCCGAGAGTCATTAACTTTGAATTATTGTCAATGGATGAGAAATTTGATATGGAAATGAAGCAATTCTGGCAAAGACATTTGATATCAATGATTATAATAAATTGTAAGCAATAAATCAGACTGAATGAGGCATCAGATGAAATCAATTAGTTATTTTTAGATTATAATAAGATTTAATTATTGTTTAAGTGATAAATTATGGCAACAGACATCACGTGGTTTTGAATTATTGTCTTAATTTTAAATTGTGGCAAATTGAAGTTGTTGGTTGTAAGAATTATTGTCAAATCAAGATCAAATTGTGTTTCGTTGGGTACGGGATATATATTTAAAGCCAGAGATATTATAACTTACTTATTTAGCCTGGCGCTAGCTACACAATTCGGTAAAATTAGCCATTTTGCATTGATCGAATTAAGATCCTAAACTATCCCGAATGGGACAAGTCTGTTAATCGAATAGAAATCTTGCGCTTAGTCGGCATGACTCTGGCATGGTACTGGTTTCGATTTAACTCCAGCACCATGCCAAATTCACACTAGCTTGGTGCCGGATTAACCCACTTGTGCCATTCAGGTATGTATCTCAGTTAAATAATCAAATTTTCAGAATCCCCAAAGGAACATCAAGCCAATAACTTCAACCAAAATCAGAATTTGATTCAATTTTACATTGAATGCTAGCATAAAATAATTCACATGACTCCATAAAAAGCCCAATCAAAATTGCAAATGCACTTCCAACACACAACTTACTAATCAATACATTGTTACTAATGGACATTATCATTAAATAATAGCAGCATTCAATGTAAAGGCAATGGATGTTGATTGTTTTAAAAACTTCATCATAACATTTTTCACAATGTTGAACGGAACTGCTTTTTACAATGTAAAAGTAGATTCTATTTATAGCATAAAGATAACATATGAAGTCTTCCTCACACAATAATTCTAATATTACTGACATGTTACTGAGATATTTTATCGTTAAAGTTTCATCACACTGTACTAATGCAAAAGCACTTTTTTTTAAAACACACAGGAAGTAAATGGCATTAAAGTAAATGTATGGTACATGTCTGAGTATGAAATATTGTTGAAAGTGGAGAACAAAAATAAAAAATTTTCATGATACAGCTAGGTACGTGTAAAACAATATTTTGCTCACTTAATTTTCAATTTAATTTTCATTCGCTTCTGTTTTTACTGCTGATGAAGTTTTTTTAAAAAAGGTTTAAAACTTTTTTGATGAGATAATATTTTCTTGAGGTTTTAAAATGTGAGAATAATAGAAATGGATAGAAATTAAAGGAATTCAAGGCAGAGGGTTTGAATAAGAATTAGGTTTTGGCCAATACCTTTGAATTGCGCTTTTATCCGTTAAAAGAGCTTTTAAAAAAGGTTAAAATTTGAATTTTTAAATCTTTGATTACAAAATTTAAGCTCTAGAAAAATTAATTTTTCCCAAAATTAAGTCTTTTGACTAGGTTTTACTTGTTTTTCTTTCAACCTTCTTATAGTTTTCGACCTAAGCTTTGTATATTAAGCAGTTAAAAGTAGCTTTAGCAAGTAAAAAGTGCAAAAAATATCAATTTATTCTTAAAATTTTAACTAAGCATCAAGTTCTAAAATAAAGAGTTCTAATCGTACTTATTTTAAAACTAATTCAAATATCGAGGTTAACGTATTTATCCAAAGATTTTGGGGTTTTGATTTTTGACCATGTCTTGTCTTTGTGTTGCTAGGAGAATGAAGCTATTGTATGATATTCCAAACAGTCAGTATAAAATGATACATCGATGATACGACAGTCTCGCTATCCCAACATAGTCCAAACTCTTTATTAACCACAACATCTATTTTTGTTTATTGTTTAATTAAAAATTTATCACCGTATAACTTTTTAAAAAATTTCCCCCATTTGTAATCATTAAAATCGCACAAGCACATCCTCGTAAAAATTTGTCTCTCATGAAATTGAAAATAATTCCGCTAATTGTCTCTCATTAGTCATTACCATAAATTTAACTTTTAATTTTAAACATTTCATTGGATCACATTTTAATTTCAAAAATTGATGGCAATTTTGAAAATTGCTTTTGTGCTGAAATTCTCGTATAATGAGTGGTTCAGTGGTAATTAAAATGGGATTTGCTGCTGAAATATTCATTTAAACTTTTTTTGATTTAATTAAATTAAGTAAATTCTGTCGAAAAAAATCTCTGTGGAGATAATCGCTGATTAAAGTGATTCAGAAGCTTAAAGATTCTTTTCATAATTTCCAAATCGCTTTCCATTAACAATAAGCACAGCCAAAGAAGAACCATCAAAACAATTTTGAACTTTAATTGATTCAAATTAAAACTGAGCCTAAATGTCATTATCGTCAGTGTTGAAAACAAAAACTCTTTTTATATACGATGTAACTGTTAGCATGCTACTTATGATGATAAAAAAATTAATAAAATAAGAACAATAGGGTGCCATATGTGTGTGTGTGTTTAAAAATAGAAACTGAATGAAACTGCTTGAGGTTGTTGTAATAACAGATTAAAAGTTTTGCAAGATATAAGCTATTGTGAGCATTTCCTTTGATATTTTCTGTTTTGCCATTTTCATTTCAATAGCTTTCTATTTTCACGATAATTTTCTTGGAAGTTGGGTAAGGCTGTAAGAAGCTTATCCTTCCGGAAAATCTGTTTGTAAATTTTTTTTTTTTCTACATTTTGTTTGTGAAATTTCATTTCTGAGCTAGTTTAATGTAGACTGATCTATAAAAAAGGCAGAAGTAGCAATTGAGATCATCCTTTTGTCACATAACCTAAAACTTTACTGCACAGCTATCTTTCTGACTCGAGTTAGCATCAATTACCATTTAAAAATATTCATTTAATAATCATTACTTAAATTGAACAATAAACAACCAAAAACCTGTTAAAAACTTGCTTTTTTAAACGCACCCTTTTTTCTATGTTAAACTACATTTAATGATTTTACAAATATACAAAAAAGGTTTATAGAGCAGCAAAAATATAAAAAGTAACAAAAAAAGGTTCAGATTGAAAAAAATCCTTGATCTAGAATACAAAATCCTTATTCATGATGAGAAAAGTGAAAAATAAAACTTTTAGTTCATATTAAGGGTTTTGCGAAACAACAAAAAAAGTTTTTACTAAAAATAAAAGGATAACAGGAAAATTATTTTTTATGGTGAAAATGTGAAATAACAAAAAAAAATTATATAAAATTTAAATATTTATAAAGCAAGTAAATGAGATGGAAATGAATTATTATATACATGTTAAATAAATGTATACACATGTGAATGATGAAAGTTTTTATTGTAGTTTATTGCTGTTTTACACTGTTTGTTTAATTTTCAGGGTTGATGCTTTGAGGTGCTTTGAGGTAGGTTAGTGACATTTTTAAAAATTATAGAAACTATGGGAATAAGTCAAAATAAAAATGCTTTCAAATGAAGGTCAATTACTCAGTCAGTTCATCCGATTCTTTATCTGATAAACAATCTTTCAATACGTAATCAAAAAAGTAATTTTAATATCTGGAAAATCATTTTTCAAAATATCAAAAATACATTTTTCAGTCCGAAAATGGGTCCAAATTTGACAGTTTTCTCCACAATATTAACGAAAATTTGTTGAAATTTAGCAATTTGATTCGTGTTTGCTTTAAAAATCTTTAAATTTTCATAATCTTTAACATCATTCATCAAATTCGTCAAGAAGCCTTCATCGACCATTTGAATTTCGAAAATTTCAAGATTTGGTATGTTTTGAGCAAAGGATTTATAGGAAAAACAAGTAAATTCAACAAATAGGTTTTTCAAATTTGGAAATTTGACATTCTTAATGGAGTCATAAACGTAAACATTTTAAAAACTCTTTACAGGAATCTAGTGGCACAATAACTTACATAGTATTTAAATGTTCTCTAAAAACATAAAACTTGAAAATAAAATACCAAAAAAGTCTATCCACATTTTACTATAATTTTGACAATTAAAACTTTTACATAAAAACCAACTCTGCAATCCAATTGTCATAAAAAATATTTATCATTCATTCCTGCAGCACATACAGTGTCATTGTTACCATAAATCATGATTTTCAGCATACATTCTTTTGTTTTCACCGGAAATCAAAAACAGCAATTAATTTTATTTATAGAAACTTTTTATTTCAGAACATTCAAGTCTTGCTTCTAAAAATAATTTCATTATTGCTGCTGTAATATTTCCTGTAATTGCGATGAAAATAAGTTACAGTCGATTTTACCTGATACGGGTAATAGCTATAAAAATAGAAAATTATTTAAGAAGCACATTAAATTCAATGTAGGCATAACATGCTCTGTACATCTTATGTTATTTCCGTAAATTGCTTAAAATACTTTTAATCGTTCCTTTACTGAAGTAATTGCTTGCATGCCTAATTGTAATTCAACAAGATGTTTGAGCAAAAAAAAACATTTAAAGTACCAAAAAATTCTGATCACAAAATTTTAATAAAGATGATAAGCAGCAGCTCACAAAAAGAAGCAGTAATGTCAAGGTTAAATATCGACATTTATATCTATCGACTAAGTCATTAACTAAAGCTTTAATTAATATTTTGTATATTACCTCTTGTTATGTCATGTCTGCTCTTCAAATGACAACAACACGGACTTTATAGACACAATAAATTTCCCATGTTCATAATTCAGACTTTTTCATTTTATGTCAGTGACGGAAGCAGGGGTGATAAAGTCTCATTCAAAATCTCTAGCTACACCACTGATTTATGTTAATGACACGAACGAACATGGAACATGAAGAATGACAAATAGGAAGAGGAACAACTTTTTTTTACGATTAATTAATTTTTATATGACATCCTTCATAATGGACGCTTTTGTCTCATAATTGAAGCCTTTTTCTGAGGATTTATCGAAGAAAAAGTTTTCTTATTTTAGTTCGCCACATGAGGCACAATGTTTTTCTTCTTAAAGCCTTAACTGTGAGAAATTTTTGGTATTTTGGATGAGCATATAGTTTGAGGAAGTTCGATGATAGTTCATTGATAATTTAGTTTATTTTTTGTGGGTTGATACGAGAATAAAAAGATTCAGTTCTGATAATAATAGTACTAAGTTGGTCATCATGGATATGGAGGATGAATGTAATAACAAAGTTTTGATCCTCATAGATGATTTAGAGTCGCTTAGGAGCACTGTCTATTTTATTTACTTCATTACTGTCTCTTTGGTGATGCATTATCAATTCATATGATTCAATTAGCCACATTCAGGGTCCTTAAAACTATACAACTGCCTTATTCGAACCATAAACAACTTTAAATCGCCTGAAAAATCTGTCAAAATTTCGTCAACAAATCAGAACTTCTTTAGCACTCAAAACTTTTATAAACTTTTTAATGGATTTTTTAAGGCACCTTAAAATGTCCTTTTGTGTAGAAAAAGTTATTAAAATTTAATATCAATTTGTAGGATGAATGCTCAGGACGACTTAAAAATTGACTTCTTCTTACTCACTTTTTTCAATAATATTCAAGTCATGATCCATAATTTTATGGACCAATTGCCTTTCCTTCTTCATTTTCTGTCCCAATAAAAAAATTAAATTAAGATGACCGAGAAGTTTATTTTAATATTCTGTGGGAGATCTGAACATGATGTATTGTCTTGTAGTAGAAAGGATAATGGAAATTTTTTGGGCAAATATTTCGGTTTCGAAAATGATTAATCGAAATTTTTAATTAAAAAGGAGAAATTTGAATTTTTGTGGTAAACCCACATAACTGTCAATTTATTTTGTAATGGAATGTTCGATTGGATTGCTGAAAATTGATTTTTTGGGATATATATATTTAGAGTCCCAAATCAGCAACAGAAGGGGAATCAATATCATCACAAAATGATAAACAGTTGGATGAATTACTGCCTTGCCGTCTTGAAAGTATAAAAAACGTATCAAAGGTTTAGATTTTTTTGGTATAAAACTTTATTGACATAACGAATTCTCAACATGTTCTTACTTTCAAATATAAAGCATAAGAACTCTTTTGAATCTTCATAATCCTCTTCGGATATTTCAAAATTCATTAATCTTTTAAAATGCTTTGTAATTCTTTCCATTATTTTAGATCTGTCTGATTTAAATACTTCCTTAACAAATTCTGAATATTCAGCATAAAAAACTAAAACTATATCCTGTTAGAAAACTATATATTTCGAAATTTGGAAAAACATTTTGAACATCTGTCCAAGAGTTTTTGTATTTTTTGAACAGATTTTTGGTCATGGAAAATAATTCCAAATTTTCTGAGCAGACAGCTCTGATCAATGGTGAGGAATCACCATCAAATTCCTCAAATAAAAATGATCGAATTGATTCTGAGTCAAAACTTCTTTCTAGTTCCTCATAAAGTAATGCAAAAAATGCTGTTGGAATTACTTCATAATTTAATTCCTTTAGACATTTTGATAAAAAATGATTTTTTAACAACAGCATCTCTCATCCTTGATATTATCTCAAGTTTTACATCAATAATGCTGACTTCCCTTAAATCGACTTTCTTATAAAATGCTTCCTTTTCATCAGCATTGAAATTCTTATCAACCAAGTCACAAAGCTTTAATGATCTTTTTGCATCTTGTTGCTGAGAAAATTCAACATTCTTAGTCTCAAATCTCTTAAGTTCCTCATCTGAAAGGAACTTTTTTCCACTTTTATTGAACTTTTCATGCCAATCAGCTCCAAAACAAAACTCAGCTGTGACTGTAATTTCCTTAAAGTTAACAGCTGTGTTGCTCTTGAATTTCGGAATCAAATCTTGCAAGACATTCTTGTTCTCGTCAACTTTCCACAACTTTCTCGAAGTTTTATCACAAATTGACACAGTTTTGGCATAATTCCTAAAATGATCGAAAATAGGATATTCTGATTCCATAATATTTTTATGAATATCCTCAAATCTTCTAAACAATAAATTTTGAACTTTTTCATGAAAAATTTGATTCTCATTTCTGGCTTCATTCTTAATATAATCGAAAATGAATTCAAGCACAAGAAAAAGTTCCTCTTCGTTTGCCATTAAAGCATCAAATAATTTGAATTTCCGTTCAATTTCTTCGTCACGAATTTCCTCGTTGTCATCGAAGATAAAGTTTAAGATGAATTGAGCTATAAAAAATATAGCATACGTTCTGTGTGCAAAATCAATGGAACTTCTATAATCGTCTGAATCATATTAATCGACACTCATGAAGCCATAACGTTGAATCATGACGGACGACCATTTGTTTCTTTTCTCGTTCCCATTTCTTCATTATTGCCAATTCCATGATGTTAATTCCGAATTTGTGCTCAAAAATGTCAGTAATGATTACTTTAACAGCATAAATATGATGTACATCCCATACAGAAAATTTGGTAGCTGGATCTCGATTTTTATTTTGGTATTTTTTCCTTTTGCTTCTCAATTATAGCTGAATAGAGTCCAAAGATGCTGTTTACATCGAAATTTTCATCCTTCTCAATAAACAGATTCGTGATCATCTCAATCATCAATATATTGTCCATAAATAATTTCTTATTTCGATTATATTCCTCTACAGTATGTTGGACTGTATCGTAGATGTGGATACATTTATCAACTTTTGAGGTTATAGTGCTAAAGTCTAGATTTTGATTGTCTATATTGTTGGTTCTCAGGATGTTCTCAATCAAGTTGAAAGAAAATGTTACCTATAATTTTGGCATAATGTAGACGAGCTGAGACCCAAATCTAATTTTTCAGACCACAATCTTTTAAAATTGTAAGCACTTTCTTCAAAAAAATTGTACATTTAGGGTTGATTGCAGTCACACCGTTAAAAAGTAGAATAACTCGACTTTCATGGAATAACTTTATGAAGATTTTAATTTTAAAGAATGATTTTGGTTGTAGAATTTCCAAAAGAAGTTGAATGATGAAATTCTCTGCCTTGGACTTAAACTTTTCATAAACTTTCTGATGCTTCATTTGATTGATAAACGATATCCAAGAATTCTTGTTGATTTTTTTCAATTTTATTGCTGATTTTTTGAAAATTATTTTCTTTCCGGTTGCAGCAAAGTCAGAAAGAAGGAAAACCTTAGATATTTCAATTTCTGTTATGACTTCATCGAAGTTGTAGCTTTTTCCAGATTGGCTGTCATCCCAGCTGCTGGTGCATAGTTTGACAAAGCTTCTTTCAATGATTTTATATTTTAGATTGAATTTACAAATGTCACTGATTTCAATGACTTTACTTCTCATTAGAATATCATTGATGATCTTTGAGTCTAGAAGTTTTAAAACTTCAATGTCATTTCCAATAAGCTCAATCAGTGAGGTATCTTCTTCTTGAAATTTAACTACAGAATGCAAAGTTTAGCTTTCATTGGTTTGGATAAATCCTGAAAACTGATGACTTTCTTTTCATCCTCCAAAATTTTCAACAGTGGCAAAACTTTCTCAAATTCTGGTTCCACGACTTCCTCGCAATATTTAAACAACTCTTGAAAGATTTCTTTCAGTTCTTCAATCTTTTCTTCGTTTTTGTAGTAATGCATCAATATTTGTGGAACAGTTACGGTCATTTCAAACTCTTGAAGATTTACAGCATATTCAAAAACATTTTCTACAATTTCCTCAAACTTTTGTTGCTCTTTGCATTCTTTCATGACTTTGTCGATATACCTTCGCTTCTGATCACTTTCTCCAGTCTGGAATGGATCAAAGTTGAAGTTCATGAAAGTTATAAGCACAGCAAGATGGCACAACTCATGAGCTAATGCTCCAAATACTTCAAACTTCTTTTCATTGTCAGTTACATGTTTAGAACCAATATAAATTTTTCCAGATGTATATGCAGTTCCTTTAGTGGAAAATCTCTTTTTCGGATCCAAATAAAACACTGAGTCATGCTTAAAATCAAAGAATATTTTGACATTTTTACATTCAACTAAGATTTTCAGCATTTTAGAACAGAAAGAGTTGCTGTTAAGTGCGTTATAGGCTTTCTTGATGTGAGTCCAGCGAGTATGTGAGAACTGATCATTGTTGCTGATTTTTGTCTTTGACCTCAAAAGAACTAAATGTGTATCTGGGAGATCTTTAGCAGTCACTTATCTTCTTTCTTGAAGTGCTCGACAATCGGAAGCCAGCATATTTTCATGAACTTCCTCTAGATCTTCAAATGCTCCAGTTGTAATTCCTCGATTAAGAAAATCAAAAATTTGAAATTTTTCTGGTTTTTAGGTGCATGTGCTAAAAGTGACTCATTTTTCCTATTATAAAAGTAAACCAAGACTTTCACAAACATCAATAAAGTCTTGGACATCTTTTGATCACTTGCCATACTCAAATTCATGAGCTGGATATCGAGAGTTTGCATTTAATAAACATAAAACTATCTTGTTTGCTCCCTCTATCTCCTCATCATCATCTTGTTCCTCATAATTCATCCAGGCATTGTCAATGGCATTAAAATCGAAATTATCGACATCATCAACATCAAATTTTCTTTCTAAAAGCTTTTGAACAAGATTAAGTCGATTCTTAAATGCTGCAATAATTAAAAGATTTCTTCCATCTCCATCACAAATTTCTTGAACTGTTATTACATCTTTTGGGTTGGATGATTTAAGCAATTACTGCAAACTTTGCAATAATTATTAAAGTATCCTTAGACCCCAAAATTTGAACTTTCAGCTCCAAAACTTAACAATTTGAACTTAGAATATAAATAGAATATTACTGCAACCTTTGCAATAATTATTAAAGTATTCTTAGACCCCAAAATTTGAAATTTTCAGCTCCAAAACTTAAAGATTTGAAGCTTAGAATCTATATAGAATATTACTGCAACCTTTGCAATAATTATTAAAGTATCATCAAACCCCAAAATTTGAACTTTCAGCTCCAAAACTTAACAATTTGAACTTAGAATATAAATAGAATATTACTGCAACCTTTGCAATAATTATTAAAGTATTCTTAGACCCCAAAATTTGAACTTTTCAGCTCCAAAACTTAACAATTTGAAGCTTAGAATCTATATAGAATATTACTGCAACCTTTGCAATAATTATAAAAGTATTCTTAGACCCCAAAATTTGAACTTTTCAGCTCCAAAACTTAACAATTTGAAGCTTAGAATCTAAATAGAATATTACTGCAACCTTTGCAATAATTATTAAAGTATTCTTAGACCCCAAAATTTGAAATTTTCAGCTCCAAAACTTAACAATTTGAAGCTTAGAATCTATATAGAATATTACTGCAACCTTTGCAATAATTATTAAAGTATTCTTAGACCCCAAAATTTGAACTTTTCAGCTCCAAAACTTAACAATTTGAACCTTAGAATCTAAATAGAATATTACTGCAACCTTTGCAATAATTATAAAAGTATTCTTAGACCCCAAAATTTGAACTTTTCAGCTCCAAAACTTAACAATTTGAAGCTTAGAATCTATATAGAATATTACTGCAACCTTTGCAATAATTATTAAAGTATCATTAAACCCCAAAATTTGAACTTTTCAGCTCCAAAACTTAACAATTTGAAGCTTAGAATCTAAATAGAATATTACTGCAACCTTTGCAATAATTATTAAAGGATCATTAGACCTGAAGCTAAGAATCTAAATAGAATATTACTGCAACCTTTGCAATAATTATTAAAGTATCATCAAACCCCAAAATTTGAACTTTTCAGCTCCAAAACTTAACAATTTGAAGCTTAGAATCTATATAGAATATTACTGCAACCTTTGCAATAATTATTAAAGGATCATTAGACGTCAAAATTTGAACTTTACAGCTCCAAAACTTAACAATTTGAAGCTTAGAATCTATATAGAATATTACTGCAACCTTTGCAATAATTATTAAAGGATCATTAGACCCCAAAATTTGAACTTTACAGCTCCAAAATCTAACAATTTGAAGCTTAGAATCTATATAGAATATCACTGCAACCTTTACAATAATTATTAAAGGATCATTAGACGTCAAAATTTGAACTTTACAGCTCCAAAACTTAACAATTTGAAGCTTAGAATCTATATAGAATATTACTGCAACCTTTGCAATAATTATTAAAGGATCATTAGACCCCAAAATTTGAACTTTACAGCTCCAAAACTTAACAATTTGAAGCTTAGATACTATACAGAATATCACTGCAACCTTTACAATAATTATTAAAGGATCACTAGACGTCAAAATTTGAACTTTACAGCTCCAAAACTTAACAATTTGAAGCTTAGAATCTATATAGAATATTACTGCAACCTTTGCAATAATTATTAAAGGATGATTAGACGTCAAAATTTGAACTTTACAGCTCCAAAACTTAACAATTTGAAGCTTAGAATCTAAATAGAATATTACTGCAACCTTTGCAATAATTATTAAAGGATCATTAGACCCCAAAATTTGAATTTTACAGCTCCAAAACTTAACAATTTGAAGCTTAGAATCTATATAGAATATTACTGCAACCTTTGCAATAATTATTAAAGGATCATTAGACCCCAAAATTTGAACTTTACAGCTCCAAAACTTAACAATTTGAAGCTAAGAATCTATATAGAATATCACTGCAACCTTTACAATAATTATTAAAGGATCATTAGACGTCAAAATTTGAACTTTACAGCTCCAAAACTTAACAATTTGAAGCTTAGAATCTATATAGAATATTACTGCAACCTTTGCAATAATTATTAAAGGATCATTAGACCCCAAAATTTGAACTTTACAGCTCCAAAACTTAACAATTTGAAGCTTAGAATCTATATAGAATATTACTGCAACCTTTGCAATAATTATTAAAGGATCATTAGACCCCAAAATTTGAACTTTACCGCTCCAAAACGTAACAATTTGAAGCTTAGAATCTATATAGAATATTACTGCAACCTTTGCAATAATTATTAAAGGATCATTAGACCTCAAAATTTGAACTTTACAGCTCCAAAACTTAACAATTTGAAGCTTAGAATCTATATAGAATATTACTGCAACCTTTGCAATAATTATTAAAGGATCATTAGACCCCAAAATTTGAACTTTACCGCTCCAAAACTTAAAAATTTGAAGCTTAGAATTTAAAAAGAATATTACTGCAACCTTTGCAATAATTATTAAAGGATCATTAGACCCCAAAATTTGAACTTTACCGCTCCAAAACGTAACAATTTGAAGCTTAGAATCTATATAGAATATTACTGCAACCTTTGCAATAATTATTAAAGGATCATTAGACCTCAAAATTTGAACTTTCCAGCTTCAAAACTTAACAATTTGAAGCTTAGAATCTATATAGAATATTACTGCAACCTTTGCAATAATAATTGAAGTTTCATTACACCCCAAAATTTGAACTTTACAGCTCCAAAATCTAACAATTTGAAGCTTAGAATCTATATAGAATATCACTGCAACCTTTGCAATAATTATTAAAGTATCATTAGATCTCAAAATTTGAACTTTACAGCTCCAAAACTTAACAATTTGAAGCTTAGAATCTATATAGAATATTACTGCAACCTTTGCAATAATTATTAAAGTATCATTAGACCCCAAAATTTGAACTTTACAGCTCCAAAACTTAACAATTTGAAGCTTAGAATCTATATAGAATATTAGTGCTGGATGTCACAAGTGCACATCAATTAGAGATTTAGAACATGGTTCAAAAGGGGTTTAAAGCAGCATTTCATACTTGTTCTTCCTTCGCCACTCTCTTCAATTAGAACTTCATGACAAAATGCTGTAATCTCCTCAGTATTGTCATCTTCAACATAAAGTGAATAGAATTTATCATTTTCAGGAACTTTCCAGTGAGTTTTACTTTCATGATCTCGTAAATTCGATTGAAAAGCTATTAAAATTGATTGTTTAGAGCTGAAATCGAAGATATGAGGCCTTCCGTTGAATTCTTCATTTAATTTAAGTTTTATTGCTAGCAAACTGTCATAATGTAGAATTTGGTATAGAAACCATTCAGTTGAGATCAGTTCAAGACCTTTTAATATACTAGACTTCTTTCAATATTTTTAAGCTCTATTTCGAATACTAAGGCTTGATTACACCCCAAAAAAATAACAATTGGGGAGTAAGAATTGGACAGAAAATACTATAGTTTAATTAATAAAAGTAATTTCCAACGATTTTCTAAAATTCAAAATATTTAACCGTTTTCCAAATTTCGAATATTCTAAACCCGTTATAAAACTGTAAACACGTCTCAAAGTCAAAAAAAATATTATTTTGTTAATTATGGATATTACTGGTATCTATTCGTTCTATTTAAATAAAATTAATGTCGCTTCAAACTTCGTTAAACAGTATAAAGACTTGCATATCATGTATAGCCGTCCTTTGGTCATAAAATACAAAGCTCAGATTAAGAGTATTTTGGAAATCTTCAAGGAAAGAAATGACGTTAAAAAGCAGGAAATTGAAGCAGTAGAGAAGATTCTAGTTGAACTGCATCGTGTAGAGGATGAGCTGTATCTCAGTAAGTGCTTAAACGTTGATAATTATTATTTTTAAAGTAATTCTAATCATCCAGTTCACTGGATCTCTTCCTTGAAAAATTAACAAGTTCATTCATCCACAGAAGAGAAGGAAGAGCTGAGAAAGCTTTATGCAGCAGAAGCAAATAAAAAGGCATCAGCTTCAGCTACACATACAAATAAAATAGAAAATATCAATAAAAAAGTAGAAGATTATTTAACTCGATCTCCATCAGTACATTCAAGCGACGACTCAATAAATCAGAGCAGCTATACTGAAGACCGCTATGATCGTCTTGTACAAGCATCTAATGATATAATTAGTGAAGCTATTACCAGTGCCTATAAGAATCAGTTATGAATACTAAATACCATCAAGCTATACTTAATGTCCATTATTCTGATCATGCTAATTAAGTTTGTTCTGCAATACATCCTGTGAAGTGTCAATAAATCAAGTCCAAAGTAATTTCTTTGCTTTCTTTTTTTTTATTTCTTGTACATTTAATTGATTCACATCGTGTCTTTAAATTAAAGTTTCTTTCTTCATCTGTTCCTAGTTCTATTACAATAATTGTTGACCTACATTGATAAATACAAGGAGCTTCTAATATCTCACAATTAGATATTCTTTATCCCAGCAAATACGATCAGGTTTTTTAATATTATTACATTAATTTTATGTTATCAAAAAAGGAAAAATGGGGAGATGATGATGGGTTTTGGGGTAATTTCAGGTAGATTCTTATGATTATTAAATTAATTAAAGGAGCTTCTTAAACATTAATTGTAAAATTGCAATAAAATCTAAAATTCAAGAATGATTCTGATTTTTTTTTTAATTAATTAAAATAGAAGTGCGTCATACATAAACTAGACCTTAATTTATGATTTTATTGAAACCGTGATCCACCATTGCTGTATGCTGTTGTTGGTGGTGCTCCTCTATCATCGAATCTTGTATGTGAATTCATCTTTCTCTCGCCATATTTGCTAGTTCCTGCTCCATTGTTATATCCATTATTTTCGTAGGTCTTTTTTTGATATCCACCACCCGATCCATTCTCGTATGGTTTTCCATATCCGCCTGTTTTTTGTCCTTGACCATAATTATTTCTCTTAAATCCACCATTTCCGAAAGGTCTGCCACCTCCACGACGATTGTTGAATCCCTTTGGATTGTATTTCTTAAGCTGATATAGTTCTGGATTTATATACTGTTGTGTTATAAAATGTGAAATTGGATTAGGATTAGATTTGAGTAAATCTTGATTTTTAAATCACACGATTAAATTTTAATCAAGAGGAATTAGCTTAAATCGCACGATTAAATTTAAATCTATAGGAATTAACATAAATTCCACGATTTAAATGGAGCCTTTACGTACCTGATTAGTTTCATTCAAAATGTTGATGAGCTCATCGACTTTCTGTGCATTTTGAGGTGTAAAGAATGTATATGATGTTCCTTTGTTATTTGAACGTCCTGTTCGTCCAATTCTGTGAATGTAGTCCTCAACATTTGATGGAAAATCGTAGTTAATAACAAACTTTACGTCATCGACATCTATATTAGAGAAATTTTGTATTAATTTTTGGGAAGTGACTAGATGGAAAACTCAAGACTTTTTTTGGGACAGTAAAGCTTTCCAAAAAGACTAAAATTTTGTAGACAGTGAATAGACAAAGAATTGAAGCTCATTGGAGCTTACTGATCTACGTATCGCACGATCAATGCTATGGATCAGTAAGCAAGCCAACAGAGATTTAAATTCCTTACCAGAAACCCAATTCGATCAGTCAAAAATAAAGTAACAAGGCAAGTCAGTCAAAAAGACTCATTTTGGGCTAAAATATATTATAGTAAAAATCAAGTTACGAGCCAACCAAGAAAATTACATCCTGAAGGCAACCTTCACTATCTCTTTAGATGCATGCCATTATTGCGTATCTGCAGTGGTAATCACTAAATTGATCAACGACGTTACAAAAATCATAAAAAGATGACTTAATTTAACCCTGATTGAAGTAAAAAAGAAAATAAAGATAGTTATGCAGCAATTGTGTCTTTTTCTGTGACTATCAAGTCGATTTTCTACAATTCCATGATTTTCCGAAACTTTACCATATTTTTTTTTTAAAAAAAGCAATTTATCGACATTAACAGCCTCAAAAGTACGTATTCACAAGGCAATAAAATGTGTATTTTTTGTTTTCGATGGAAGTGAGTATTGAAGATTATTCTTAATTCGAGTAAGCGGCAAAAAAATTCTTCATACATGTCAGTAAAAGATACATTTACTTACCAAAAAAATAGGAATAAAACTGTTGTGTCTCACGCCTTCATATGCATCCATTTGCACTTTGGTATTTTACTGACATGTTAATGAGTTTTCTGCATATTTATAATAATATACAAAAGATTAAACAGAACAAAAGAGCTATATACACATTTTATCCGATTTGATGGTCATTATTAATGGTATGGCCATCGTTACAGTTGCCTCGTGAATCCATAAGCACATCCGCACAACCATTTTTCAATCCAGCATCTGATGTGGAGTCTCCTCGATTTTTATATAGCAATAACTTTTTTTTGTACACTCGTTGTACACGCATTTTTACGTATATAAGATAAGGAGAACCACTATCCAATTACCACCGCAAACTTAATGATGATGACAAAATATTTTCATTTTTATTCCACAAAAATATCCAATATGTTGCTGTTTAGCTATCTTCGGTTGGTTTTACTACTTTTTACTAGCTATCTTTTTGGATAGACAAGAGAATCTTTGAGTGATTATTAAGACATAATCATAGACGCAAAAGAGAATTGATTCTCAAAATTTGTTATTTCTCAGTATTCACCATAGACATCACCATATTTTTATCATATTATCGGAAGACAACACTTATTTACATGGCGATATCCTGTAAAAATAATAAAAGCGGAAGAATTAAAGATATTAAATAGATTAGTGAATACTGGAAACTATGCTTAATACTAAGATTATCAACATCCTTCCCTACTCATGAGCATTAAGTTTCGTCATTAATCCAAATTTAATTAAAATTTTCTCATCCAACCGAAAAAGAGATACAGACAGGATCATGTCAGGCGGTGTGTGGAATTTTACTTAAAAATTGTAATTTTATCATCAATGCACCTATACTCAATATACTTTTTTTTGTTTTTGTTATGACTGACTCAAGTACTTATTTTGAATATCTCATTAGAAAAATCTAATAAAATAAATTAACAGAAGAAATGCGTTCCATTCAACATATTTTGTTCTGTGAGTGAATCCACATCCATCAAGTCCACTGAAACATTTCATATTTACCTAATCCACGACTTGCTACGTCTGTAGCGATCAAAATACTTTGACGATCTTGTCGGAATTTACCCAAGACAAAATCTCGCTCGCGTTGTGATTTATCACCATGAATTGCAACAGCACGGAATTGATTGCGCATTAAGAAGTTTCTGATGTCATCGACCTTCTTCTTTGTTTCTCCGAAAATAATTGTTTTACTTTCGCGATCTGTTTGAATTTCTTGGAGTAATTTAAGCAATTTTGTATCTTTCTCGGAATCATCGCAGACATCTACAATTTGAAGGATGTTTTGATTAGCTGATAAGTTCAATGATCCAATGTTGATTTGGAGATAATCCTTCAAGAATTCTTCTGCCAAATTCTTTACTTCCTTTGGCCATGTTGCAGACCACATAAGACACTAGAATTAATTTAATAAATTAGCACAAATTTTTTTTAAGTTTTAAAATAACAATAGCTAATGAGCAATTCCACGGATGAGTTGAATTTCGAAAAAACTTAATTTTTGATCGATGTTCTTTAAAAATTTGATTGCTTTAAAAATATACTTTAACTAAGCTCACATTTTTTAAAACAACTTAAAGATCTTCATTGACTATTAAACTTTTAGAAACAACATTCTAATCAAAGAAATAATTGTTAATTAAAGTAAAAGTTGCTTTTTAAAAATCATTTTCTCACGGATTTGGCTCAAGCTTTGATATATTACATTAATTGCATAAAAATTATTTATTTTTCTGTCTATTGAGTGCATTTAAAGTCAATATAGGTATGCAGAATCATAAAAAGAGGATAAAATAAACAGCACAACAACCATTAATAGTTGTCTAGATGTCTTTAAAGTCGTATATTTGCTTTCAAAATTAGAATTCAACATTGTGTAATATACCAACGCTGACAGAAATCCAAATATTTCATTAATTAAAGCTTGATGACAAAAGTTTATTATACATAAAGATAGATCTCGGTGATTTACATAAGTAAGTGTTAAGACTGGAGCTATAAAGTCATTTTATAGAGAGAAAATTTGTTTTAAAGTCAGGTTTTTTGTTCTACCACAATTTTAAAATAACTTTTTGCGTTTTAAATGGATTTCTAGTTTAACGGTTTTTTGAAATTCAAATCAAATTTATCTCTTAAGGGCGATTCCATGAGTGAATTTTTTTTTCTCAACTCAATTTTTTGTAAATATTTCCTTAATTAACTTCATTTAACGCCATATTTAAGATTTATTTTATTTATTATTATGGTATTTATGTATTTTAGTGCATAATCTTTTAGTTAAATCTGTCTGACAAAAGATATTTTAAAAAAACCAAACTTAATCGGTCAACTTTACAAAAAATTGATTTTTAAATTTTTATCAATATTTCTTTGAATATCCATTGTTGTGTTACAAATCTATGATAAACACACGTGAAATCGCCTGTGCTTTATAACAATATCTTATTTGTATGTCTTACTACTGTAATTAAGGAGAAAATTGGGGAAAACACCACTTAATCGGTCAACTTTCAACCGATTATTGCAAAACACATTACATATTTTTGTCAAAATGCAGCATAATTAAGACGATTAAATGCTAATAACACATGAATTGATGAATAATAAGTCTTATTTAGTGAAAAGATATGTTGAAATATGTATATTTAAGCAGAAAAAGCTAAAAAAGTTTTTGAACAAAAAATTTTCAGTTCCATTTACCCATGGAATCGCCCTTAACGCACCCTACACAATTTATGAAACGGCAAAATTAAAATGTGTTAAGAAGGCTTTGTTGTTTCATAAAAAGGAATATTATTATCGACAACGCATTATTTAAAGTGAAAAATTCAATTTCAAATCTAAATAGTTCAGTAGAACATTAGCAGTGAGTAGTGAATAAAAGTTTCAAAAAACTGACATTTTTAAATTCGAATTCGATGCTGGGGGACTTTGATAAGAATAATGAAAATAAATGAATAGAAAATTTAAAAGATGTTTGCAACGGAAATTTTTCATACAAAAAGTAAATATTTTGATTTTATCAGGATTTTTCTGGATTTAGAAACCTTCTTTAATCGAGCACCCCCAGTATTTTGATTCCGAGAAACGGAATCTAAAATATCTCATAAATTAAAGCGTGAAGAGGAAAGCTTCATGGACATAAAGAATGATCTCGATAATACGTAATTAAGTGTGAAGACTGTAGCTTTTAAGTCATTAATTAAAGATAAAACTTGATTCAAATATAAGGGCGATTCCATGAAACAATTTGTCTACAAATTTTTCTCAAAATTGATTTTTTACATCTTTAGACTATTCTACTGCAAATAAGATTTTCGGAGGTCATTAAAAACATCATTTTCTACTTAATGGACTGAAATTTTCTTGCTTAAAGTGATTAATTAAAGAATTATTTCAATTCTTTTGGCGTTACTTAGTAACACTATCGAAGAAAAAATAATTTGGAGACTCACTTAAAGTGATTTTTCTTTCCGTTTCGCAGTTTGTTAATAATAAAGACTGTCACAACTCAAAGATTGATAATAAAGCTACCAAAATCTAGCATTATATTAACTCAAAAGTGCTTAATTAAGCTATACTTTTAATTTCTATGTGACTTTAAAAAATGTTACTGAGTAACGGAGAGATTTATTCCGTGAAATAAAGTAATGTTTAATTATTTAGAATTACTCATTTTAAGACGAGAAATGGTTTAAGATGAGTAAAACATTAAGAAAATAAGAGTATAAATAAATATTTGAAAATTAATATTTCTTACTTAATAGACTTGGATCAAACTTAAATGTGAACAATGAAACTATTTCATGGAATTGCCCATAAATTGTTTCAACTTTGATATCTGATAAGCTTCGAACGGCCTAGCGGACAAAATGCGGTTAAACCTCCTGATTTCAATTTTTACTATCGTCAAATAACTTTATAAAGGTTGAAAAATAGTCAAATCAAGGTCAGACAATTGCAATTTTTCCGTTATTGCATTTTAGATGCAGCGTTACTAATGAAAGAAGCTCTAGAAAATTCTAGAACAATATCGAAAAATTCCAGCATAAAAATAAATAAACCGTTCCACACAAGCGCGGAAGAAATGCGAAAAAAAAGTCACGATGCTTAGAAACAGTTACTATGTGAGAACTAGACATGAAAAACGTGTTTTGAGCACATCTTCAATGTTATTACTCATACAATATAAATATAATTTTTTAAGAATACTTACTTGTCTGTCTGGTCTGATTTGCTCTATAATCTTACGAATTTGTGGCTCGAAACCCATGTCCAACATTCTGTCAGCTTCATCCTATTATAATAAGAGCATTTATTAGAAATAAAGTCACAAATTAAGTAACGTTAACGTGTGACTTACCAAAACGAGATATGAGCATCGCTTCAAATTGGTGGTTTCTTGTTGAAGGAAGTCAATCAATCGTCCGGGAGTGGCAATAACAATTTCACAACCGCGTTGTAAGTCATTTTGTTGTGGACGTTTTGGAGCTCCTCCAAATACACAAGTATTACGAATTCCAATTCTTTTACCAAAATCAGTTGCGACAGTTTGAATTTGTTGTGCCAATTCACGAGTTGGTGCCAATACTAAGACAATTGGACCATCGCCGCGCTTTAATTTCTCTTGGTATGTAATGTGAACTAATGCAGGCAAGATGTAAGCCAATGTCTTTCCACTTCCAGTTTGAGCAATTCCGACTAAATCGCGACCTGACATGGCTATTGGCCAGCTTGAAGATTGGATTACTGTGGGTTGTGTGAATCCTTGACGTGTTAATTCTGAATTAATGTAACTTGGAAAACCAATTTCATGAAACTCGAAAACACTCGTTGGACATTCTCGTCCGCAAACTGTAATCTCATGCTTGTTTTGGAAAGTCTCAATTTCAGTGCGTGAACGAGCAACAACATTTGGAGATGGCTTATAAAAGTTTTTACGTAATTCTGACAATTCTTCTTGTCCCCAATTGATGCGCTTTAAAACTTGTTCATCTAGACCATTCTTATTGTCGCGTGCTCTAGTCTGCATACCACCAAATGATGGCTTCTCAACGCGTCCATTAAAACGATCATTTCGTCTAGTAATTCCATCTCCACCTCGATTTCCTCCATATCCTCTGGAACTGCCATTTCCAAATCCACTGCTTCCTCCTCGACCACCACCGAAACTACTTGGTTTATTCTGATCAGATCTGATATACCTTAATTAAGTAATGTATAAAGAATTAGTTGAATTATATGATTAAGGAACTTTTAATGCGTTTTACATTTCCGAGAATTTCGAGGTTAAATCAGAACAGAAAAAATTATGGCTTGTTTTAAGTACTAAACTGTGATTTTGCTTTGTAAATCTATAAACTAATGCACTCTGAGCACAGACTCGTCTTAATAAACTATTCATTTAAGCTTAAAAGCGTACTATTATAGTTGAATTTAAATTTAGTGAAAATAGGCTGTCGATGAAAATTTTCACTAAATGCGCGAGTGAGATAGAGATATGCTTGAAACAGACTTGAGTGAATGAGATGGAGATAGAAAAAATCTGCCATTTCGACAAAAATTTAATTTCTTTATAATTCATATTAAAATTATCTTAAAGTGATATATTCGATATTTAATACTTACATTATGTGTTAAGCTATTGATTTCACTACTTTTTAAGATAATAGAGATTTTTTTTAATGGTTTAATTAAACTTTTTCAAACAAAGCACAGAGTTTCTTCTGAAAGTTGATTTCAAGTTAGCTTGACGTAGCTAATTCTCCCCAGAAGTTGATTTCCCCAGAATGTTTTTGAATTTTTCAAAACCGTTAATTTTATTTGAGATTTTTCTACGCACTCTCTTGATTCCTTTATTTTATCGCTGCTTAAGGATTTACTATCCTTCATAGACTCAAATTCTTACTAGACCGATTAAAGCGATATGTAAGTTGTAGTCCAATTATAAGGCTTTTAATCCATGAAATAATTACGCATCTGTTTGTATTTGTAAAAAATGCAATTGTATTTGTGAAAAACATTTCACGTTGATTATTATTATTTAAATTAATGAATTTAATGCTTAAATTGTGGATATAATTAATAATTTTTAGATATAAATCACCACTATAGCTTAAACATCAGTTCCATCAAGCATTAAATTGTCGATATGAGCTGTAAACATCAAATTTAATATAAATATCAATTTTGACAATGTCTTTTAGAATGTTTAATCCAAAAGGCCTTTATTTTGAACGTGTGGGACATGCAAAAGAATGTCGGTACATTCACTTCAGGAAGCCAGTCATTAAAATAGGTATCGGTGATCACATCAGTTCCAAAATATCTAATTCTAATTATAAAATTTTGTTTGTTTGACAATTTACAGGAAGATCATCTAAACTTGCCGATGTGTATTTCGGAACATCAAATGCACATACAGTGTCTAGAGTACATTCAAGACTGGAGTTTAAGAATGACAGAATGTACATAGTCAATTTAAGCAACACAAATCCAACGTTCTTAAATGACGATAAAGTAAATGATGCAAAATATGCAGCATATATCAGTGATATTTAATTCTAAATATTTACTATAAACATTCAACAGGTTATTCGTCAGACGGAAGTCGAGGAAGGAGATCTTATTGGATTTGGTGAGTTACTTAATCAACTTTTTAGTGCCTTAATGAAGTGTCAGAGCATATATAGACGAATCTGCTAGTGCACTATGGGGCAAAATTGAAAAAAAAGCGGCAATTCAGGAAATTTTTGAACTACGCTTTCAGGGTTATTTTTTCTTGTAGAGGACATCAAAATTGACTTCTATGCCAAATTTCAGGTCATTTGATGCGGGCCCCGACGAAAAAAAATTATTCGTGAGTGACTCTTTAAATGTAAAATATCTCCGAAACCACAATAGTGACAAATTTCAAAGTTATTTTATCTTATAGGAAACAAAAATTTCTATCTTTTTTGACATACAACTCACTTCGTGTCTGTGAAGTACGCGGGAGCAAGTTGTCAGGGAGTGATGAAACTTGGCATGGATTACGTCCATATTACGTCCATTTACGTACCGCATTTAAATATTTTCGTCCTACTTCCTATAACGTTCTACTATTTACGTCCAATTTCGTTCTTCAAAAAAAATTTGAAAGATTTTCAAAATTTTGAGATTCGAAAACATTCTAATCTTTGGATTGAAAACATTTTAGCATGTTCAGGCATGGTAAAAATACATTGAAACTGAAATAAATCCAAAAACCTCATTCGGATTAAAAAAAACCCTCTTAATTTGAATAAGTGGGAAAAAATACTTATGATTTGATGTAAAACATAGTCTTAATTTTTTTCTCAAATTTTTAAACATGCTTAGGGACGAGGCTAGAATGTGCAGGAACTGACATAAATTTAGAATGATTCGAGCTAAAATATCGACAGAAAAGGAACACTGAGAAAAAGTTTTGACATACAATATGATCCTAGTAAATTTTTGAAACTTTGATGTTCAGGTAGGGGATGGAACTGGAACTGCAGAACTCCAGGATGGCAGATTGGACTTAAATAATTCCATCATATTTAAGCTGCTGAGGAATAGTAGACGTGTTTTGATATATAACATGGTAGGTTCTTGGGGAAAAAAAATATTGGTCCACAAGTAGTACTGTCCAAAACTTTGACAGTCCATAACTCTTTCAGGTTATATCCATTTCCGAAAATTTTTGCAGGACGAAATTGGACGTAAATAGTAGATCGATTTTCATATATAATTTGGCCATAAGAGTTTAGTTCCTATAGTTACTCCCGCTGAAAAAGTGAAGTACGCGGAAAAGATACCCAAAACCTTGTAAGGGGTATATCCAGTTATAGGAAGTAGGACGAAAATATTTAAATGCGGGACGTAAATGAACGTAATATGAACGTAATTCAGGCCAAGTTTCATCACTCCCTGACAACTTGTTCCCGCGTACTTCACAGACACCTCACTTCCAAAAGTTAAACACTTTTGTCGGAAAATCACTTTAATTAAGCATCACTCACGAATAATTTTTGGGAATTTCGCTATAACTTTGTCAGCTTTCATTGATATATCTTCAAATGTATTTTTTAGATCAGAAATTTTATTCTCTTGAGTTTAGCTTGAAAAAACTTTATAAATTGTCCTGCAATATACTTAAATGAAAAAAATTAAGCTAAAGAAAATTTACCGGCTTTAAATTTTTTGAATATTTTCTGTTGTAATTTGTTTGTTTACAAACAAAATTGGAAATGAAATTTGAAAAGTCACGAAAATATCACTCAATAATGATGAAAAGGCTCTTAAAATAGTCAGAGAAGCTAATGTGTCTTCTACTTTTCGTATTCAAATTATAATATTTGAGATTAATGATTGAATAATTAAGAAATTTGAGAATTTAATTTTTTGATGTTTTGTAAGATAGTGTTAGTGAATTTCAAATTGAATTTTTCCGTTGAGCAAAAATCCTAAAAAAATAGTCGAGGCTCATGCTGTTTTTACAATTCTGTGGATGTTTGAAGTTGAAAATGAGTGAAAATTTTGATTTTTTCACGTCTTATTTAAACTGTCACATCTTTTTAATAGTTAAAGATATTAAGAAACGCTTTTCGGTTTACTGTAGCTTAATTTTTGTGTTTTCACCTATTCTGGTTGCGGTTCAGTATGTTTTCTGATTCACTAAAATGACTAGAACTTTTTTCAGAATTAATATTTTTGCAATCTGTTTTCGATTAAAAAAATTTATGAAATACACTTTTTTAAGTTTTAATAGTCATAAATATCATATATCATCATGAAAAACCTAAAAACAATACGTAATTTTGTTTTTAAGTGATATTTCTAGAAATGACGTTTTTGAGATTTTTTGTTTTTTAGGTCGTTCACAAACAAGTCCTAAATTTACAGAGATCGAAGCCGATTTTTTCGGCTTAACTCAATTTTTGATTTTTTTGTTAGAAAAAAGCTATTTAACTCACATTTCAAGTATTTAAATTGAACTTTACATGCTTTACTATGATTCTGTGTAATATTTTGTCAGCATGTAGCTATAGTGAGCTCAGAATTTCAATTTAGCCGATTTTAAGCCGAAATTTAAGCCGATCGGCTTAGCATCGACTAAATTGAAATTCTGAGCTTACTATAGCTACATGCTGACAAAATATTACACAGAATCATAGTAAAGCATGTAAATTTCAATTTAAATACTTGAAATGGGTGTCAAATGGCTTTTTTCTATCAAAAAAATCAAAAATTGAGTTAAGCCGAAAAAATCGGCTTCGATCTCTGTAAATTTATAACCAAGATAATACTAAACTACAAAGTATTATATATCCTTAGAAAGGTCTAGACTTAATAAACTGTAAACAGAATTAAAAAATATTGAGGTACACAAAAGTAAGAGCAGTTTGAGTGATGCAAAAACCATACAAGTCGTCAGATATGAAAAGTACCCTATATATTGGCAGATTTTTAACTTTTTGAAAAAATTTCTTCGCATCTTGTTTTTAAATATTGTTTGTCATCGAAAAATAACACAAAACTCAGTTTTTGTTGTTGTTTCGTAACTTTTATAAGATTATTTATTTTTTGTTGAATTATTCTACTACTTATTTAAATCAATTTATCTCAAAAAAGTACCAAAGAAATTTTGATGTTTATACATTTTTGAAAACTAGAAGACAGAGGCTAAAACACAATGTGCTTATATGACTGAAAAGTGGCCATTTAAGATCTTTGCGGCATGCTTGAATATATTTTTCATAGAATTTTCACACATTTCTTCCCATACTGGTACCAAAACTACAAAATTACAAATTTTGTACATTATCAAAACAAAGCTCTTACATGACACTATTAGAAACCGAAAAGCGTTTTTTAATATCTTTAACTATTAAAAAGATGTGACAGTTTAAATAAGACGTTAAAAAATCAAAATTTTCACTCATTTTCAACTTCAAACAGCCATAGAATTGTAAAAACAACCTGAAATTTGGCATAGAAGATTTTGATGTCCTCTACAAGAAAAAATAACACTGAAAGCGTAGTTCAAAACTGTTTAAAAATTTCCTTAATTGCCGCTTTTTTTCAATTTTGCCCCATAGTGTAGTGTTGTCAATATAACAAGATTCGCACAATGCTCACGACATTACAAACACTTTAATTAACATTATTTCGACGTATGACAATTAAAGGGAGCAGACCGAACTGTGCATATCCAAACTTTACTGAGGAACAGATATTTGTGTATAAGTGCAAAAGTTTGAGCAAATCAAAACAAAATAACGTCATTATACTTGATGATAGTGAGGACGAAGAAGAAGTGCAAATAATTGATGAGAATGACAATTCTATCCAAACTGCTCCAATAAATATAATTGAAATCAAAAATAAAGATTTTAGTCCTGAATCAAAGATAAATGAGATTGGAATTGAAGCATTGGTGGAACCACCACCTATAAGATCAGTTGAGCTGCCAAAAAGTTCTTCGAAAGATATCTCGCTTCATATAGACACAGTTGAAAGTATTAATGATATATCGTCTTCAAATAGTGAGTATTCTGCTTCTGAAAATGACGAGGATTCATCAGATCATTTAATTAGAACTGAAAATACGTTAAATGTCAAAATCGTAGTCAAAAAACTCACGGACGAGGAACTAGAGCAATGGAAACCAAAGAAAGAAAATGAGAATTCAGAAAATGAGTCTGAATCTGAACAAGATATTGAATCTGACGATTTAGACAATCAGAACCAGCCTGAAATAGATGAAGGAAAGATCGAAATCGGAAGACAATATTCAGAGAAAGAAGAAACTGTCCAAACTGAGACTTTACCAGAACAACGAAACTCAGAAAAAGATAAATTCTTCTTAAATGGCTTAAACTTTTCAAAATCTAAATTTGATAATTTGGCAAAAAGCCTGGAAATGCGTGAAAAGATTCGTTCTCTTGTCGACGATGATGATTCTGATGATGGATTGTTCAGCAATTTACCGAAAAATTCACTACAAAATAACACAAAAGTTCCGGAACCGATCAAAAACCTAGACAGAAGTGAAAGTATTGAAAAGATTCAAAAATCTGTGCCTAGTTATAAGCGCCAAATGTCTACAAATGAGACTAATATAAACGGCAAAAAGTCAAAACCAGATGAGCCAACGACAAGTAAAAAAATGTACAAGTTTCCTGAAAGTTCTAGTTCTGATAAACCAAAAGATAAAGATCCAGTGAATAATTTTAATGCTGTAAATCTAAAGGATAAAGATACAGCAAAACGAAGATCTTCACTGTATGAAATGAAAAACAATGACACAGACTCAAACGATTCAACACAAAAAGAACCGTATAAGATTTTCAAACGTCGTATGTCATTATGTCCAACAGCAGCACCAAAAATAGTTTCACCACACAATAGTATCAAAAAGAAGAAGCTTCCACCACGCCGACAAACAATTAGTGAATCAAGATTCACAGAAATTGACATGTTTAGTAAGGCAAGTGAATTAAGAATGAAGAAGTGGGGTCCGACTGGAAAGCCACCAAGTGATGTTAATCCACAAAAAGAGATTCCTAAGAAATCAGAAGCTGCAATTACTGCCAAAAAGCCACAAAATCGTGATGATGTTCGCGTGGATAAAAATATAGTGAATCTGGAAGTCAAGAAAATTCTGGATTCAATTTCGAATCGTCTAGAACCGAAAATCAATCCATATATTGTTAACAAAATGGTTCCACCTGTAAATAATGAGACTAAACAGGAAACGAGCAAGAATCTTGATGATATAAAGAAAGCTTCATTAGTAAAAATCAAGTTTACTCCAGTGACGCGTGGAGAATGCTTGACAGAAGCAATTCCATTAACACGAACAAAACCGATTGCTTTAAGACGATTATCAAGCATTAACGATCCACAGCCATCAACATCGAAAGAGGCAATGACAGTAGCTTCATTCTATGACAAATACGTAAAGCCTAATGATGTGCCAATTATTAATAAAGAACCATCAGTTGATCCAATTCCCGAAGAAGTTATAGAGTCACTTAATGCCAAAATCAATATGGAAATGAAGAAACAGCATGAACAGTTAGCTATTGAAACCACATTAACCATAAATGAGCCGCAATCACCGTCAGAAAGTAGTGATTATGAGGAACTCAATTTAGACACCGATGACGATGAAGATACTTTGGGATTCTATACTTTAATTGACCACAATTCAACACCAAATGAGATTCCAACGCCTTTTATTGATGCTGATCTTGGATCTCCAATGAAAGATGATCCCCGTGGCAAGACAAAATGGGTTTCATCAGAGAAAAATGATGAGGAACCAACTGAAAAGACATACGAACTGCAAAAGTTCCCATCAACGCCTTATTTTTCCACAACAATTCACGTTCATCATGAGAAGCCTGTGGACGAAATTAAAAAAATTCTTAAGATATCACCAACTTATTTATCTCCATCAAAACAGGTCAACAAGAAACGAGTGTCATTCAATGACTATAATCTAGTCGATATTGTTCGCTACGGAATTGATGACACGCCAATTAGTACCTGTAAGTTGAATAATATTGATTATTATAATCCATTTAATTAATCAATAATTCCATACTTTACCGTCCAACAAATTTATAAAATATTCAAGATTGTTCTCAAAGATTTATTTTTCAAAAGATATTTTTACTTCCATTACTTTCACAATTGTCTCAAAGACTGCAAAAGCAGTTTTGTTTAAGTCGTATTTTCTTCAATAAACCAAGAATTGAATTCTTTTCCATTACAATATCGACGTTTCACTTTTCTAAGCCGTCTCTTTTAGGGTTTGCTGTCACACAGTCTGTCTATCCGAATCACGATTAATGATAATTCAAAGCCTTTAAATTTTTGGATAAAACTTGATCTGTTTCTTTAAAACTAAGTTTTTATTCAACTCCAAATATGATGTTTTGTCATTAGGAAATATTTTATAGCTTTCCTTGTATAATGATAGATGTTATGGGTATTGAGCATAGTATGAAAGAACAAAAGATCATTTAGCTAGTCACTCAAAAAATTAAGGAACTGATTAGAAATGAGAGTTTATCATGTTGTGCATGTATTAGAATCCTTCATGGTACGAAATCTTTAAATGCTCACAAAAATCTCCTTATACTATAACCATAGAAATTTGTGATCATATAATATTAATCCATAATTTATTTTTGACTTTTCGCTATCGCTAGCTAAGCAGCAAGTCGCTCATGTACCACCAATGAGATCTCCAGTCAAGAATCCAAAATTCTATGAATCTGCCGCATGTGCTGAGCTTTTAGAATGGGATTGGAAGTGGATAACATTAAATAATGAACTTCCAGAAGGCTGGAAAGTGGAACCACACAAGCATACATATAAAAGCTTACAGGAATACAAGGATGAATTAAAAACAGTGATGAAGGTTGAATTATTAAAGAAGCTGTCATCCAAATATAAGACAATAGCATCGAAAGAGAAAACTTGGAACTTTATGACCGTTAAGGAACGTAGAGATGATCAAAATAATCATATTAAATTAGTTCTTGGATGTGACTCAAAAGACTTGAAGCAAGGCACAATGCTATTGCTAAAAGTGAGAGATACAAATAATGTGACTCGAAAACCAGTTGATATAAACTTTTTTGGATATGTGACAGCAGTCAATGATCGCGGTGAACTTAAATTAGACACATATTGTAAAGAATTAAGGAAAGAGAAAGCAGTCCTTAAATCCACATGCCTTATACATCTCAGAAGTGACATAAAATTATTTGCCGTACTCAATTGCATCCAAGAAACTCCATTTATGAAATTATTTCTTAATCCTAGTCTTAATAAAATGGATAGGTATGAAGGCATGACATCTGTTAGTTTAGAATTTAAAATTTCATCTATGAGACTATGTCCTGAACAGAGAACTATCATTAAGAAACTCTCGCATGAATGCACAAAAAAAGACCAAGAGAAAATAATATTTATTAGTGGTGGAGCAGGAACAGGAAAAACATACATGATGCTCGCTGCTGTGCTTAATTTAAAATTTTGTCTCAAAGATAAAAGAAGATATTTGATATGTGCATCAACTTTGTCAGGAATTGATGAAATTGCTGAAACTTTAGTCAACATTCAGCTCTCATTAGCACTGAATATAGTTCGTATTGGATATCGTGAACAGTCGATTGGAAGTGGCAGAAAATTAGGAATAAATGAGCAAGTTCAGCAGAAGCTTAATAATGGTGTTAAAGGAAAAAGTTATAAGGAAATCCAGAAAGAAATTATTGAGAATGCAGATATAATTTTATCGACAGTCAAGGGTTGCTTTGAGCTTTTTGATTATCAACTGTCTTTTGATACATGCTTTATTGACGAAGCTAATTTTGCAATTGATGCTGAACTTATGATTCTAGTGCAATTAAATATCAAGAAAATGATTTTTGTTGGTGACGAATATCAACTGGAACCAACTCAATCACTCGTTTATAAAGAGACACGATGCAACAACTCATATTTTAATAGAATTATGGATTATTATAAAACAATCAATTTTATCAATGCTCCAGTCTTCACACTTTTAACGCAGCACAGAATGAACAAAGATTTATTTTATATTTGCAACAAGTGAGTAGAACCAAAGCTTTTCTTCATGTCATCTTGTCCATTCATGGTACTTTAATTCATACATTAATAAATTATATTTTTAAATATTGTTTTCTATTCAGCATGATAAGAAAGTGTTTTAAATTTATATTTTTTGACTGAAAATGTGATTTTTGTAATTGTGATGTTTTTGTAACGAACTTTTGGAATTTTAAATTTTTTGAATGTATTGAAATGAGTTGAACTTTTTTGAAAAAGAATGAACTGGTTTTGTGTGATTTGAAATGAACCGTTACAAAAATTAAAGTAACACATTAATGTTATGTGCTTTAATAATTAAGTTACGTGACTTTATAGATTTTTCTAATCTAAATCATAGATGATCCTGAAGAAGCCAAAAACACCATTAATATTAAGCATTAATTTTTACATTCTAAAGTCCTTTTTACATGTATCATCATTGGTGATTGGTCTGTCTACATTAAGTGCACGTTAAAAACCATTATTTAGAGTCAACAATACCTTTATTATTTAAAATCTTCTTCTCAGGCACGTCTACAATGACTCTATGACTTACAATTCGATAAATTCAATATCGACTGCCAATTTCCCATTTAAGCCATTTTCTGTATTCACGTTAGACGTTACGACAAATGATCAGAAATATATATCAGACGAAATTAATTATTTCTGCATGAAACTGTGTGAAATTTTGCCAAAAACTGTGTCCATTGGAATTGTGAATGGATTTCCATCACAAAGAGACAAAAGTAGAATTAAATTAGATACCAACGATAGACGTATTGAATGTTTAGCAGTAGAAACAATCCAAGGAATTGAAAAAGATGTGATTATATTGACTTTAAGGAATACAGAGACATACTTTATGCACAACTTTAATCGTATTAATGTCGCAATGACACGAGCGAGAAAAGCCTTGTATATATGCTCAAATATGAATATGATTCTATATCCGGTAAGAATTTCATTAATTTAATTCCAAAAAAACAAAAAGTTTAAAAATTTTTTGTGTTCTTTTTTAATTAGAACGAAGCAGGACTTTTCTTGCGGCTCAAGGATGATGCCAGAAATCGAGATTTATATCATGTCATTCAGAAACTTGATTTTGATAGATTATATAGCATATTAAGAAAGTGATATTGAAATTTTTGACGACAAACATTCGTTTTTAAAACGAAACTTTTGAATCAACAATGAACAAGATTTTTTTTTTATTATTTAATTCGTCATGCTGAACTTCATCATTTACTAAAAGGAAGAGATTTATGAAAAATTTGTCTTATTTTACTGCCTTCGAAAATATAGTAAGATGTCCAAAGAAGCATTTAGAGGAACTGTGATCAAAGTGTTTAAGTTCTGTCGATAGTCATTTGCGTTTAATTAGTTTTGAGATTTTATTTGAAATTTTTTTAAATCAGTTTAAAAAGCAGCAATGTAAATGGTAAAGGGTTTGAGTTGATCTAGACCATAAAAAGAAATATAAATATGGAATGGATAAATTTCTGGAAAACAGTGGTTGTAGATGAATCAGGTATAATCGAGAGCTGTATCATTTGGAACAGGAAGCCAAATAAATGAAAATAATGCTTACATCTGATCCGGAGCAACAAATATGCTGGAAATTAAGCCAAATAAAATATATTTTCGAGAAACTCTAAACATTAAAATAGACTTATATGTGGTGCTTATGCTAAGGAAATAATTTGGGGTGCAAAAAAATCGGACCTCTTTTTGGAACGTTTTTAGACTAAAGAATTGTAAAATTTCAATGAATCTACGACCAGGCGCGTAGCCAGGAGGGTCTTGTCCCCCCCTTTAACGTTTTGAACTGCAGCGAGAGCACGGTCTAAAACGCTTAAGAGGTGGACAATACGCGCCTGTCTAGGACACATCTTTTTGAAATTCTTTGAAGTTTACTTTGTACCAATTCCTTGGAAATGTTCATGTGCCTGAAAATCAAATTTGACAATAAAAAAAAACTTGGTGCTAATTATTATGATCTTTGAAATTAATGTAAATTCTATGAGAAAATTTAAAAACTTTTTTATATTCTATAAAAAAAATCTTATAAATATTTAATCTTAATCATAGATTAAGATCTAAAATCATTGGTTCTAGAATAAAATTAAGTTTAAAGCAAATTTATTTTAAATCCCGTGTAATATGAAATGTATAAAATACAGAAACTATTTGTTATGTAATCTTTTGAATTATGGATGTGAGAAAAAAAGAAGTTCAATAACTTGTTATGCTGTATTCGTGATAATACTCAATCAAAAAGTTTTCAATCTTTTTTCCGCACATTTTACATTTTAAATAAATATCAGCATATAAATGCGCAATACATGAATCACAAGATATTATGTGATGACATAAAGTTCTTGCTATTTTATTGCTTTCATTTTTACAGTTCCAGCATTTGTAAATCGATGACTTTTCAGGGATTTTTTGGAAAATTCTTTTTTGATTTAAGCATGAAAATCTCTGCATAAAACTTTTCACATTGACGATGTTGAGGATGCAGGACATAAAATTAAATTCAGTCATGTTGTTGTTGAAAAAATCATGAATTAAGAACAGCTCATTCCGTGAGAAATAGTTTATTCCACTAGCCGAAAATGCTATAATCTTCATAGCAAGCACACAAGCTTCAACATTCCTCTCCTTACCACTAACAATAAAAATCGGTTCCTTATTTGTATCTGGTGAAATTACAATCACATTTGTTGCAGTCATAATCTTCTTGATCTGTTTACCCTTCCTTCCAATTATACAAGGAATATCATACTTCCTAAAATATGCCGTTTCCAGCTTATCGCCTGGCTGGAGATCAATTTTTCGCTTCTTATTTCGCATCAAATCGAAATGCATTGCTGACTCGCGAATCTTTATTCTCGCAACATCAACACTGAACTTGTTATCTCCAAAAATTCTAAAAATCGGTAGTTCATTTGGACTTGGACATTGAATGTACGTGTGAGTTTCTTTTGATATTCTCTTAATCTTATATCCTTTAAATCCAATTATTTCTGCTGCATGCTCATTCGATGGAACAAATTCCTCAAAATAAAATTTTTTACAAAACATATTTTCACTACATCCGAACTACTCTAAACGATTCAGAACAAGAACTGATCTTAAGAATCGAGATTTGCACTTGATTGCTCATTCCTCATATCGACATAATGCATATTGCATTCGTATTGTGGATTTATTTTGTATTTTCAAATAAATAATGCTATAATTTCGTTGATCATAAAATTAATTACTCAAGGAATCATAATACATACACAAGTGACGCCAGTACGAATCGCTTGATTCATGCTTTATCTACTTTTTTGCTCATTTTACGTCATTAAGTACATGGTTATTTTATGAGTCTTAATTGGAATTTGAATAAACATTTTCTAATGATTGAAGAAAAAAGGAGAAATACGGGATATGATCTCATAGGTTTGCATTGATTTGAATCGTTTTAAACATCTTACAAGCCTAATCAATAATTTTGCAGTCTTTTAGAATCTCTTGTATATTGTAACATTTTTCTCAATCAGTGTTTAAGTTAATGTGTGATTAAAACTTAAAATTTGAACTTCCATCAAGATCAACTCGATTCAACTGAGCATAAGTCAATAACTTGATAATAAAAACTAAAAAAATTGCACTGGAGTCAATATTTCTTCATTTCTTATTCAATTCATAATATGTCATTCAAAAATAATGTCTAATTTTGATAGAGAAGCTGGTCTTAAGTTTAGTAACAAAAGTTGAACCAACTTTCAACTTTTGTCAAAAAAATAAATTTAATCCTTCCCAAAAAATATGACATCATTTATAAACGACCCCAAGAAGTTTTTGTTATTACTGCTTATGTTTTTGTGTTTATTGAATTTCAAAACTATTTTTATTATGTTTTTTATGATTTTCCTTGATTACTTTTGTCGCGCTTTGTACGTAAAAGTTCATTGAGCTACTTGTTGAATTATGTATAAAGATTTTCATCCACTGATCAGGAAGAAAAAGGTTTTGCACAGTATTCTAAGTAAAAATGTTATTATTGAATTCTACGCCTAGTTATTAAACAAACATCATGTTTATATTTCCACTCAAAATTGATTTTAAAAATTGAGTTCATTAAAGTCAATTTCTAATTTAAAATAAATTTTAAAACCTGAAGAAAACAGACAAAAATTTAAGCTTTTTAAAGATAATACAATTTTTATTCCTAAAAACAAAACAAATTTATACAAAAAGGTTAAATCTCAAAATAAGTATAAATTGAACACGAAAGCTACCAAATTAAAAATCATTTCCGATAAATTTTTGGATGGTAAATTTTTGAATTTTAATGCGAATTAAACAAAAGTTATCACATAAGATAGTATTTCTAAGAATCGTCAATCAATTTCCAACCTTCGGAAACTTCCAATAACCTGATCAGATTTTTCAGACACTGCGTTGTTATTCTTATCAACATTTCGTCTTCCAATAATACCAGAATCATTGATAATCTTCATCTTATCAAGCGCCAATATTGTACTTCTACTAGTTGCCAATTCCATTTTAAAGTTTTGAATCATTTCTGCTAATGGAATTTTGCCTCCCATTTCTTTTGGAAGTACATCGACTGATGCGATGCTCTTCTTCATGTCATCTGTTGTTAAATGGACCTGGAAAAAATTGAGTTCTAATTTTAATGCTGTTAAGAAAGTACAAAGTCATGTTTACTCTTACATTAAAGCGATTCCTAATCTTTGATGAAAGGACACTCTTTCCAGCATCAACAACGAATTTCAAGATTGCTGACACATTATGCAAATGAATCTCTTTATGTCTCAATGGAAGAGATTGTTCTCCCCATTTTAATAATCTCATAAGATCTGCTGGATTCCTCCAAATTGTAATATGTTCCTTTGTTGCACCAGAAAAATCTCCTATGTGGACGACACCAAGAACTTGTTCCTCTTGTGAATCAATCAATGCTTCGAGAACTATGAAATGAGCTCTCACTTGATCTTCATATTTAAATTCAATTCCATTCAGTCCGTCTGTAAACAAGGTGAAGAGTTATTGATTTTCAGGGATTACAATTAAAATGAAATTAATATTAATCTCTTTAAAGCTTTTGATACCGTCGGAAATATCTTAGAACAAACCTAATCAAATTGAAACGTACTCTGAGTGTAAATATCAAATTAATCAGAATCAGATTTCAAAATAATCTCAGACCTTTCACCTTTTAAAAAATATACCCAATCTCATCGCACATACTTACTTGCAGAATACAAGATCGTTCTTCGTCCAAACTTATCGCGTATCGGCGACACTACAATATATCCATTGTCAAACAAATTCTTCACACATGGATCAAGAAAGTCCAAATTGTAGGACAAATGTGTCATAACTTTTCTCATATTTAGGTATTTGAGCAGTTGCTGCTCGGCCATTGGAATTGAATATTTCTTATTGCGGAGAAACCGTAACAAAAATCCATCGTCAATTCGAACATCCTCAACATCATAGTTTTTAGATATCCATTCACGCATTTGCATCAAGCTTTGTTCTCTAATCTCTTTGTCTTCACGCAGTTCCGATTTTGCGACTTTTTGTGCTAATTCACTTATTCCTTCTTTCGTTTTTGCAGATTTTAAGTCATGTTCCTTATTTTTTGCCCATGGGAAGTTCAAAAGGACTTTTGTTGTTGCCATTGTTGATGACTGCTAGAATTTGGAAATATAAAAATGTGGAATGATTTACATATTTATTTTGTGTGTTGATTGTGATGCATGCTGCTCATTCAACTTGTAGTAAAAGCAGTAATGAAATTCAATTCATGATTATATTGACCAATTTGTATTAACATCAATTAATAAAATGATTGTGGAATCTATCAAACAATCAAAAGTCCGGAATTGACAAAATGTAATTTTTGCATTGAAATGTGTCAATATTGATGCTATGTCGATGTTTACCATATTATTTAAATAAAGTTTGCTTGTACACTTGAAGGAAATCAAAATTTTGGTGTGGCACTATTGAATTTGGTGCTACTTACTTGGTTGAGCAAATTAGATCCTCAAACTAAGCATTTAACTACAGCTTAGTCCAAAATTGTCATAAACTGTCATATATTAAGCTGAACACGAAAATCAATTTCTACTCCATACAGATATGACTGTAAACATTAATGTGGTCTTGACTACTTGAAGTATCGTGAAAGACTGGTAATTTTTATTACTTTATCTTCGTAGTGTTGTGAAAGTAAGAATGGATATTGTTTTCAGTTTTTTTCTCTCTCAAAATATTTTGTCTGCAATTGTCAACAATTTTATAGAGCTATAGTTTTTGAAGAGAGAGTTGAGCCTTTCAAATTTTATAGGCTTTACAAAAGAAAGGTTTATAAAATGTAGAATTTAGTATATTTTAAGAAAAAAGACTCCTTTCAATTATTGAAACCACTTTTTAATATTCCAAAAACAAAAGTAAGCATAAGTAATACAGTTAAACACATCACTTTGCTGATTAAAGCATATTTTGTTTTTTAACAAAGATGAAAACTGCAAATGACAGTAAAATCCAAGCTGAATAGCATAAACCGCTTATTCATTCTAACCACTGGATGTTTTAATACAAACTAGAAATCTGCGGTGTATCTGCACCTTGCACCATGAAAATTCAGTAGTAAAAGTTGTAATAAAGACCTTAAAATAGTCATCGAATGATAAAGAGTGATTGCCTTAATGTTGCGCATGTAAATTGTACAATCGTAGTTTTTTGCAAAACATTAAACGTGTTTCATTTTCTTAAACTTGAATCATTAATAAGGTGAAGACTAAAAAGCGTGGTTCCAGCTTTAATTATAAGCATATAAATTTGTTACAAAATTACTTTAAGCAGTAAGTTAGAAATTACCGCAAAATAAATAAGACTTTATTAGTACAGACCTAATAATCAATGAATGACGTTTTTGAAAACAAAAGGAATCATCTGTTTCCAGAATTGATACTTTAAGTTTTGATAAACAAAGGTGACATTGAAATGCATTAATCCTGAGCATAGTCGGTGTCGAATAAAAATAATCAATATTGATTTGAGTCCACTTCGAGCCTTAATTCTTAATATTAAGCCACAATCATGTTGTAGATTATTTGAGTATTTACCTTACCTAACTTCATATGAAACTAATTTATTATGTTGTTAAATGCAAATAAAAAGTCAAGCCCAACAATTAAACTTAAGTTATTATGGTACTCAAAACGTAATGATCTTCATGCGATTCATAGAATGAAATAATTGGCATTTATACACGAATAAACGAATGACGAAATTTCTTCTCTTGTAAAACTTTCGCAAATGCTTAAATGCATCGCATGTAACAAAAAAAAGTAATCATCAAAAGTGCATGATGCATATACACATTTACAGAATGGCTGCATACATATATCACTCTTGAATGTACATAAAAAACCATAAAATATCTTTTGAAGTAAGCAGCACTGTTTATATTTTCTCTTTCCAAATTGAAAATAAAATGAAATTTATGTAATAAGCCTCATAAAAATCTATGCAATATTTTTTTTCTATTTGCTGCATGTCTTGCAGTCAGTATGTGTATAGTCAGTAAGAAGAAAAACAAGAAATTGCAAGAAATGTGCACGAAGTTTTGTAGTTGCACATTTATTTTTGCTTGCATTACTGTTTACATTTCTTCAAATAAGCAACGAAAGTGTTGTACTACTGGCTGACATAATACAACAAGCTTGTTACTTGAACTTTATTCTATATTTTGCATTTTTTTTTTCATTTGCATCATACCAATTGTCCCACATTTCTGTCTATCATACCAAAGGCGGAAAATTGTTGAGGTTTGGAAATTGTTTATTATTGTAATAGCTGAGTTTGAGACTTTCCATAGAATTTTATGAATGATTTTTGTGGATTTTCGTTGATTAATCGACAATTATTCTAATTGTTCACTTATTATGTTTGTGACACTATCTATAAAGATCAGCTATTGAATGTCATTTCTTAAACAACATCTGCTACAATGGAATCTTATAACAGCAAAGAAATTGTGGAATGTAGAGTTTTCAATCGAGAAGTAGATATAAACAAACAAAGAAGCTGTAACATATTAGTTTAATCAATAATCTTATTTGAACAATATTTACAGCTTCTCAATTAAAGATTAATAGGTAATATTATTACACGGGTGTAACATGTAAGTAGCTTAATTTTTGTTTAAACTTTATTAACAATTCATCATGTGTCAAAGTTCTATACTTATAATCCGGATTCAAGGTTTTGAATCAGTTTTGGTTCAGTTCTCAATCCTTCCTGGTAAACAAAAGAATCAAAAAACTCTAAGACGTTCTATTAAAGTTTGATTGATTCAATTTTGGTGCGTAAGACATGCATTTATGGATTTTTCTAGTGAGTATTGCAAGCGATTGCCGCATTCATTTGTTAAATTGAGCAACTTCTGGAAATCGGTTCTTTATGGTTAGAGTTTGGATTTGATAGCCAAGATTAAACTTTTAAACCTTCTGTTCAACTTTCACCAATGCAGATGATTATCGTAATTATAAATAATAGCATTGATTCATAATAGATATTTAATAAGTATGAAAATGTTTCGAGGTATCTGCAGTTGACAAACCTTGACGTTAAATTATAATAAAATTCCAAACTTGAAAAAAAAAATCAGAAGTAAAAATTTACCAAAACATCAACAATGTTTATTCCTTCCAAAAAATATCTCGAATTGTTCATAAAAATCTTAAATGATTAATTAAGTTAAAAAAAAATATGAATTTTCGAGCTACATAATTGTTCACACTACAAGCAAGTATTAATTAATTAATTCCCTTCCATTCTGAACAGCTGAATTATAATCCAATAACATGGACCCTTAAAACAATGAATATGAAGACGAATGGTATGTTAATGAACTCATGACAAGGAAGTATTTTGCGTTTGTAATCACATAAGATTCTCAATTTTTGTTTAAATCTTCGTCACATTTTACACAATTTTTGGATATTTACATAGTCTTTTTTATCATGTAGATATATTTCTCATCAAATTTTTAAATACACAAATCATCATTGTTATTATAATCACAATTTATCACATTTTAGCCTTCTCGATATAATGAAGGTTTGCTAAAGTCTTTGGATAGTTGAACATCACAATTTAATAACTTTTACACAATATTTGACTTTCTATGAATGGATTAATTTTGGGGAATCCATAGCAATCTTAATTTAGATGCAACTGATTCATCTTTATATGACTAATTTGCGAATCTCGTCGAAATTCCATTTATTTTAGTCACAATAATTTTTATGATTATTTTTTATGATACATAAAAATAATTGGTAATCACCTCTTAATGCAATAACCTAGCGAATAAATATTTCGCGATGAGACTTATCGTAACGACACCTTTATTTTGTCTGCACTCAACAACGAGCGAATAAGGTATGAATTGAAAATATTCATACAGTACGTACGTCGATAATAAAAAATTGTTTTTTACGGGAAAGCTTTTTGAGAGAGTGGGAGAATGAAGTAACCAACAGCATATGTTGTGCACAGTGTTGCAAATGTAGATGTCTACACTAGATGAAGAATGTAGATTCTTCAATAGTTTTTGTCTAGCTAAGAAACTTTCTTCATAAAGATCGATTCTACATGTAGAAAGAAAAAAACCATCTACATGTAGATTGTGTCTACATGTAGAATCTGTCTACATGTAGATTCGATGTAGATGTCTATAATTCTACATTTTTTTCCAGGTCTACATCAGAGAAGAATGTAGAATCGTAGACATCTACATTAAATCTACATGTAGACAGATTCTACATGTAGACACAATCTACATGTAGATGGTTTTTTTCTTTCTACATGTAGAATCGATTTTATGAAGAAATTTCTGTCTCAGAATTTATCTGATCCAGACAAATAGCCAGAATGCAACACTGGTTGTGCATGCATAACTTGTCAGTATTTAATTTTAGCGTCATGATTTTTTTTTCTTGGAGCTTTTGTGCATATAAATTTTCTTAATTAGGTAAATAATCTTACATGCTCACCTACTTTTCTCACATATGTTTAAAGATTAGCAGCTTTATTTGACTTTGAACTCGCAACAAAATGAGTTGAATGGACTTTTCCGTGCATGCGGAAGCTAAGTGTGTAAATTTATTAAACAAACAAATCAATTTGATTTATTCAGAATCAATAAGATTCTTTTCTAAAGCATTTTAGTTATTTTTGCTATTTTAATTGAATTAATTTATAGATAAACACTTTAGTTTATTATTGTTCAAAATTAATAAGATAGATTTACAAATTAGTTGAGAGGATCGTGTTAACAGAACTGACAATAATAACAAACAAGAACTTTTTCTATTCATTATGAAAAGTGTGAATGAGCGAGAATGAATCGGCAGAAAGTTGATAATATTTTATTACAAGGTTTTGGTCAGAAATAAACAGAGTTTTGAAATGATATGATAAAAGTTGATTCATTTTCTTACATTTCAAAATTCAATAATAAGCAATAAATGATAATGCAATATGCAAATGTTCATAATAATCTACGCATGATTTTTATTTTCAAAAATACATCGATCTTTGTAAGTGAAAAAAGATAAGAGCAACTTTATAACTCTTAATTTATTCAAAATAATATTACTTCACCATTCAAAAAATCGGATGGAAGATTGTCAACAGCTTGATCGTAAAAAAAATCTTTGATGAGTTTCACATGATTTTCTAAATTCCAGTTCAAGTTTATTCATAATGAAAATTCAAAAGAGATAAAAAGTCTTATGCGCAGATTAATAAATGCATGCTTTGTATGCGTTTCAAAGCTAGTTGCATTTTTATCAGCTTGAATGACCTTTTTATCAGCTTGAACATTAGTAGTTTAAGTATCTTCAGTTTTTAATTGAATCAAATTTCTTTGATGACATTTGTGTCTGTAGCCTAAAAACACAAATATTCGACCTTTGAAAACCATTTCTAAAATGAAAGTTATAAACTCCGAATATTTTGTCTATCATCATCAAAATTAATTATGAGAATCACAGCCAATTAAAGTAAAATTTCAATTCATCAGATTAAATCGAGCCATAAATTGTGAAATTAACTCAGTTTGAATTAATTGCTCTTTTTTTGTATATTCTTAACTTGATTATTTTCATTAATTTTATGGCTTTTATAGAAAGTCTATAAAATCATCACCTCATGCCTGTAAATCAAATTGTTGATATAAAAAACTTTTTCATTCATAAATCTCGAGTTCATTCAAAAGTTTTATTAATTTACTATAAAATGTGTCCTTTAATTATAATAATAACAGATTTTTAAAAATTTAAATAACTTGCTATAAAAGTATCCATGAAAAGCTTATTCAAAAGATACATATGATCAGTAAAATACAACAAAAATGTGTTTCATATAAATATCGTCAACGAGATTGGATGTATAAATAAATTACTCGAAGAAGAATTTCAAGCAGAGACAAGGAAAAATTATATGTATAATCTGTATTTAATGAATGTATGTATAAATAGAGAGGGGATTAAAAATGTGAAAATTGCTCATCGAATTAGTATAGAGACATGAAACTATAGTCACAACTTTATATTTGCGGAGTATGACAATTTTTCTAAAGGAACCCTTCACAATTTACATCTCACAACGACGAGGAATTTATAAAAGATTAACTTGTGCCAGAGGAAGGGTGGAGAATGATCTAAAAATCCCAAATTTAATAGCCATAATTTACGAACGACCCGCCAAAAGAAGAAATAAGACAAGAAGTGACGATTCTCTTATTCTCATAAAAGTTAAAGATAGACAAAAGGAGACAATTTACTTCAGTTCACATTCACATTGAAAAATTTTTCAATTAAGTCATATCATGAGTTGAAAGTCCTTAATCATTACTCTTTTATGATGTCATTGCTAACACACAATTTCTTTTCTCTTTTCACGTTTCTAATGCACGTTGAAGCAGCAAAGTGAAAAATCGCCACTAAGAAAAAGAAGTGAGAAAAAATTAATTCATGGTGTGGTGCCTGTGCGATTTATAAACAATTTTCTAAGTTGCCGTGTGACGTCAATAGAAACCTCAGTTGAAGTTTTTTTTTGTTTGATTTAAATGTTTTTTTTAGTGAAGAGAACGAAGAAGAAAAAAAATATTCACATGGTCAAAGTGAAAAAAGAAGTATTGCGAAAAAGTGAATTTTACGGTGCGCTGTCGACGAAATTTTAAATTGTTTTTTTTTTCCTGTGTATATATCTACTTTAAAGAAAATTATTTTTCTCCGACTCTCATTTCTCCTCCTCACGACTGTGTCAGTTTTCATATTAGTTAGTAGTTGTCTTTGAGTCGCAGCACTAGACTTTCTGGTGATCGCCTAGTTTTTTTTTTTAAATATTCATTCTCGTTCTTATAAATATATATACAAAGAGATATAAATGTGTGACATATAATGTGTGTTGTTTGTCATTTCTCTCGAGAAAGCTTGTACACATGATGAACATGATTTCGTGTAGAATAGGAAATAAACATGCGTTCATAGTGAAACAATAAAGTCTCAATGAGTCTGGATGAAAATCGCATTTAAAATGAAGCAAGAATCATCAATGGGAGGCAATCTGTAAAGAATATTTTATGAGAGTAATTTGATGAAAATTGGAGCCGAAATTATCACATCATTTTGCTCATTTTACGTCTCACTCGATTTGAGATTCATACAAGCGAATAAGACGGCAGTGCTGATGCTTTGCCGAAAAGCAGAAGGGAAAGAAAACATCCACATAAATATAAAAGTGATTTTCACGATCTTAATAAAAATCAAAAAAATCAAAAAAAAAAACAGGCCAGAGTTAGAAGAGGCTAAATAGAACGCGCGCGCGATTTTTCACATGCTTTCAAATCAAAATCACATCATACATTGAATAAATATCGAAAATCACTGACACTGCTCGATCAGAATGTAATAATAATAAAAAATAAGAAGAAAATTATACAGCAAAAGGATAAGTTTTCAATATCTAGACGCTATTCATTGACTTGTGACCGACCGCATCGCGTTTGTGTTTAATTTATAAATTATTTATAAAATTTAATTAAAAGGCAATTTAGTGAGAATAATCATCAACAGTCATGAGTGATCATCATCAGTAATAGAAGTGAATTCGGGTTCTGTATTTCATTTTAAATACAATTTTCCCCTCTCTCCTGTCTCTCATAATGATTCAGTACGCTGATCAGTCAACAAGCAAAGGCAACAACAACAGAAAATAAAAGTATGAGGAAACATGAAAAAATATAAAGAAAAATTTAAAAAAGAATTTTCAAAGTGAAAAAAAAAGAATTTGATCTCACATTTTACTGAAAGATGTGAAATTGTGTGACTAAAATATCAAGTAAAAGAAAATTAAATTGCATAATTAAAGTAATTAGCAGTTGTGTAAATGATTCTTAATGTGTTTAAAAGATAAAGAAGAAAAATGTGAAAATGACGAATTTCTAAGAAGTGAAAAAAGAGTGTAAAAAATGAAATTGTGTGAAAATTTATCAGGAAAAGTACGCTAGGCAGATTTTTCATCGTCTATATTTTTGAAAAAAATCTTTGTTTCTGTGTCATCATCACGTAAACGGAATAAAGGTTTCGAAGAATCGTCGCCGTGACAGTCAAATTGTAAATTTGCGAGAAAATATAAAAAAAAAATTTCCATCTGGCTTATATTTTACTCCAATACTACGTAACATAAACAATTAATCAACTGTGAGTATCTCATGATATCATGCTTTATACTTATTTTGTCTCTAGCTGTTCTGAGTCAAAAAACTTTTCTTCGTTTTTTGTCAAAACTTTTCCATGGAAAGTCTACATATTCACACCTTTAATTGCACATTATTCAATTCTCTTTTATTGCTTAACTTTTCAAATTCTCAGAGCTTGGAAATGAGCAGATCTTATTTTCTTTTGTAAAAACGCTTTGCTTTAAATTTGGGTTTATTATTTTTTATTACGAAGCAAGCAGATTCATTTAGATTATTTGGATGAATTTTCAGAACAGATCTTTTATTGACTACAAATTGAGTTGCTCTAAGAAACGCCCATAGTGACCAAAAGTCAGTTGAATATTTTTTAGAGAATAATCGTACATCAGCTTACACATTTTATAACTTAAAGAGCTACAATTGTTTAAATACGATTAGAATTATATCTTTTTAATTTGTGGTTTATGGAATTTAAAGTTTGTTTCATACTTTTATCTTTCTGGTGTCAACAAACAATATTATTTGAACCTCATTTAAAGGATATTATCCCGAGCGATACAAGAATTCATTCAATCATTGGTTAAACATTTTTCATTTCAATTTTATCCTATCAATGAAGTGTAGCTTAGCACAGTGGCATCAAACGATGAATAAAATTG